CGATGCCTCGTATATAGGTATTGCGCCACGCTGTATAATATTAATAAAATAGCGGTATTTAGGGGACGCGACTGTGTATTATTATTGTTGTACACACCCCGACGACGACAAATAAGCGCGGCGGGGTATTTATTATTGTTTTTACGCGCCGCCGCCGCCGCGGCCGTGTTGACCGTCGAATATTGTGTACATCACACGCGTGACAATAATAAGGGAGAACTCGCGATTCGCTCGCTCCTAGGAGGCGGCGGTGTCGCGAACGACAATATTTTCCTTATCGACGAGAGTTCGCTTTCGGTTTTTTCTTTTTCGTAATAGTATTCGCGTACACATATACGAACAGGCGCGTACTATATTGAATATTAATTCAATATTTACATATCATATCTAAACCCGCCGTCGCCCCTTGAATCAATGGAATACATGGATGCACGCGGTTTATACAAATTTTAGATTCTGAGTGTAGCGAAGAATGTATTGGTTTTATTAAGATGTTTCTTTTTTTTTTTTTATACCGTGTACACAAATTCTACCATAAATCCTGCTTAGATATATACGAACGGCACCATTTCTGAAAGGGAATGTTGTTCAGATGGTAACTTGAAGAGGTCATCTTTTGATTTTCCCAGGAGTTTTCCCAATAAGTGGGAAAAATCATGAAAAACGGGTAAATATACAAAATACATTAGTAAAATATTACGATTTTTTTTTCTGTGAACAACTTTTCTACTAACAAATTTGCTCCGATTTACAGTTATAGCACTTTTTCTAAAAAGTAATCTGACTGGAGAAGTAATTTAAACAGGTAATTTTTCGATTTTCCTAAGAATTTTTCCAGCAAATGTAAAATACCGATAGAACGAGAAAATAGTTACAATATTACATAAATAAATATTATTAAAGAAAATGTTTATTACACATACAATTATTTTGCCATAATATGGCATATATATTGTTGACAAAGCATTAATATCAACTGAACTGCGCTCAGAATCGTTTTTTCGTTAGCAATAGTTAATCGTTACTTACAGATATACATTAAATTACCTATAACAGTGGCTGCACCCGACCCTATTATCCTAGGACGTCTTTTTTTACTCGAATTTCCTCCGGATGTTTCCGGATTCGGAAACATTTCGAGTACCCGCATATACAGTGTAGATTCCTTTTAAATAAGTAACACTCAATAATTTTGTTCAGAGACATTCGATTGAAGTGGATTGTTTTTAAATAGTTATAGGGACTATTAAAATACATATTTTGTTACAATTTTCAAATTTTGAACCCTTTTATTGTGCGCAACTTGCGTTTTTTTTAAATAGCAACACCTACTTACTATAAATAACTTTCAATAACAGATTTGGATAGACCAAATTTGTTTAAATTATTGAACTTTTCAAAAATCATCCTAGAGTTTTATGAATTATCATAAAACTTTGTGTATTTTTTTTCTATTCGTAAGTTTGTAGACATCATTAAACCATTTAAATTAAAATTTTAAAAAATACGCGAAGTTGTATGATAATTCATAAAATTCTAGGATGATTGTTGAAAAACTCAATAATTTTAATTGAAACTTTAACTCGTTGTCATTTAGTCAATTTTGGTTTTATAGAGCTATGGTAAAAAGAATCAAATTGACTTAAAAAATATCGATCTATCCAAATCTGTTGCTGAAAGTAGATGTTATTTAAAAAAATGCAAGTTTTGTTGCGCATGAAAAACACAAAAAATGTGTATTTCAATTGTCCCTAACTATTTATATACACTCCGCTTCAATCCAACGTCACTGGACATAATAATGGAGTGTTACCTTTAAAAAGAATCACATTGCATAATGCATTTACTCGAATTGCCCCCTATAGCATACCTATCGTCTACTGCACTGAATCAATCAAAACGTCGATAAAGTGAAACATTGATATTGAAAATATTATATAGTTACTATATTCAATAATAAAGATATACTAAAGCGTATACATGGTGTATATTATAGTAAATTGTAATTAATAGAAAATTAATATACATTTTTATACCTTTTTTCATACCCGATGTACCAAATCCATTTTGTATTAGAATAATATAATATATTATATGATTTTCTTTTGTGTATAGTATTTAACTTAGTAATTATTACCTATTATTCGTATCGATTAATCTGGCCTTATATCGGAGGCAATTCAAGTAGATTAATGTGGCAGTTCGAGTTGACAATCAATTTTAAATTGGGAGGCGATTCGAGTAACCTTTTTTTGCAAAAATTAACGGGAGGCAATTTGAATATGCCCAAACCCGCGGTGCGGTCCCCCCGCGGGTGGTTTGCGTTTGGGCGAATTCATAAAAATCGCACTGTGTTTAGGCGATTTTCCATGATGCGTTCGAGCGAGTGATTTTAGAATATCGTAATGGGTTGGGACGACTTATAGCGTTATCTATTTTTCCATTCGTTTTAATAGACTCGGAACTGTTTGTGAATACCACGAGTATATTATTAAAAATTTTCATTCGAAATGCACATCGTTTATTCCGTTTCATACTCAAAATGTTTTTAACTTTACGATCCATATTTGATACATGAGACTCGTGATAGTATTTTAATAACTACGAACTATTAGTGTGAAATTATATAATAATTAATAATACTATTACAATAATTAGCAACGGATTTATATCTACCTAAAATCCGCAAAAAAGCAAAAGTGGTAAAGGAGTTTTAAAGCCTCTCAAACGGCTCTAATCTTATTAAATCAAATTTTCTAACACTCATAAATGATTAATAAAAATATTTTTTTTTTTTTTTTATAGCGCGTACAAATATATTTAAAAAGAATTAATTTGTAATAATCGTTTTTATAGAGTTAAAAAATATTTTTAATAAATTAGATACAATAGATGGGAAAACTTTTAAAACGTCCTGGGATAATGGAGTACAGCCATTATTGTATGTAATTTAATTTATATCTGTAAGCAACGATAAATCTTTCCAACCAAAAACCGACTTTGCGATAGTGATGCTTTGTCAATAATATATATTGGTAAAATAATTAAATAGACATTATTTATTTTCTTTAATAATATTTGTTTAATATTGTACCGATTTTCCCGATTTTTCCCATTTATTGGGAAAACTCCTGGAAAAATCGAAAAACTACCCCCCTGAAGAACCTTCACAGTAAAATTTCCTTTCAGAAAAAGTGCTATTATTTTAAATCGCAGGGAAATTGCTAGTAGTAAAGTTGTACATAAAAAGAAAAGGATATATTTTTTTACTAATACCTACATTTCGTACATTTTCCGTTTTTCTGACATTATATCCCAGGGTTTCCAAGATAATATAAAAACTGCTTGAAAATCAAAAAACTACTTCTCTAAATTACCACGGAGATAAAATTTCCTTTCAGAAAATAACCTAGACTTGATATATTGGAGTAATATTTCTGGTAGAAAACTTGCACAACAAATCGAGGGGTATTTTGCGATTAAAATAGTCCGAGGGAGCGATAGCTTGGGTCTCTAGGTACATTAAAATATATTTTATTTTTTCTTTGTTTAAAATCAAATCAAAAAGGCAATAAAAAGGTGAATTGTGATTTTTCGATTATATCACTTTTTCTGGTAGAAAACATTGTCCATGTTTATAAAATAATGAAATCTTGAAATTGTAAGTTTTCTTATGTTTTTTCTCACTTAAGTTCTTTTATATTAAAAATGTTTTTCACACTTTGTCATGTAAACTTATTAAAACAATGATTTGTAAACATGTATAAATAGAATTTTTTTTTTTAAAATACTATTTACTATAATTGTAGTGCATCTTTCCTGTATCCATTTTATACATTTCTTTTTTCATAACTCCATTTAAATTTGTAGGTCCCGTTAGAAAACCATTATCATAACTTCAATAGTTTTGAATATCTAACAAATTAAAATCCTAAAATATCAATTTCTTCTTTTGCGGTTAATGATTTTATTGTGTAAATTGACCATCAGTTTCAATAATTGATACAGCAAATGATGGAGCAGCATAATCAATAGACTGACCTATTATAACATAAGTATAATTGGCATAGATTCCAGAATTATAATGGTCTATAATTTGTCTAGCAGATTGAGTGAGAAATGTGTTTTAATAGAATGTTCTTCAAATTAAATTTTCCCTGTTCTGGTTGCACTTTGTTTATTCATACTTGTAGGAGAAGATTTATTTCAACTAAAAACACTCATAATTGTATAATTTGAAATATCATTTCAGTAGTACTATATTGTGTTTAATCAATATGCCAACAAATGGTTTGAATAGAAAGCAAAACATTTTTCATATTGAAGTGATGTATTTCATACAAAAGTATTTCTTCAATTATGAATAAATTAATTAAAAATTCTTTTAATATGTTGTCAAATCTGATATCTAAGATATAGGACTTTTTCAAAGAAAATAATTTATAATAGAAGTTTATTCAGGTTCTTATTTTCTTCAAGTAAATTTTTAACTCTATTGAATATGGAAAAAAATGTGTTATAACCAATTATTGGTCTATAAGTAAACACTTTAAACATGCACATTGTTGATATTTAATTTTTCTATTTTGATGTCACTGGAACAGTAGATATTTAATGCATTTGAATTTTCTTTTATAGTAAATGTTATTCACATCTTCAATAATTTTTCAGTAAATAAAGTCCTGATCTTCAACTTCTGAATACAGCTTATTTCTTTGTTTATGTCCAAATAAATTTTTCAAATGAAAATTGTAATATTATGTACTTTGTAGGTATATAAATTAAAATATTTCATTATTCATACAAATATTTGTATTTAAATATTAATTGCTAATTTATATTATAAATTATATGTATTTAGTAAAACTTTTTAAATTTATAAATTCATTTTTAATGAAACTAACAAAATTTAATATTTGTCAAAGCTTTTAAAGTTTTAATAATTGATAAAAGTTTAGACATCAGTAGTATTTGATTAATCAAAGAAAATACATTACTAACAAATAATATTAATATATATTTATTAACTAACTATAAGATATACTTAAACTTAATAAAATATTTCTTAATGTGCAATAAACTTTGTATGTGTTCCATGTGCCAATATTACATTATTTTCTTTTTTGATTAATGACACCTTCAAATATGCCAAAGTCCTTCCAAGTTTTAAAGTTTCAGCATTAATAACTACTTCATCTCCAATTTTTGCTGCAGCTAAATACCTAAAAATAAAAATGTATAAGTATTTTAACACTTAAACTTTATATCAATTTATAAATATACAAAGTCAAAAATGACATAGGTAATTGGAGTAAGATTGGCAAGTATTTTTAATTAATTAATTACTGTAAAAAATAAAATTGGTCATGTTAAACTCAAGCCACCTAAAAGATACAGTTATTGAATAAACATTTACATTTAAAAAATATTTCTAATGGTAATTTATTTGAAAAAAAAAAAATATATATATATACATCAAACAATCTATTTTAATTTGTTTAATATACATACGAGACATTAATGTTAACAGAAACCCCACTGTTTAATGCATCAATATCTTTAACAATTGATGGATGTGTCAATAAAGCCAAACCAGAAAAAAGATCAATAGCTGAAGCAGTAAAACCTCCGTGTAGTGTGCCATATCCATTTGTGTGTTGTTTATCAACAATCAGTTCAGCTATACATTGACCATTACCAGCAGAAATTATATTTACCTAAAACAAATAAATAATTACTTTAAATCATAAACCAAGCTAAAAAATTAATACAATTATTGAAAATTTTTTATTGAATCAAAAATTGTATATAATAATCTATATAATTTATCTTATGTTTGGAACAAATTAAATTAAACATTTTAGCAGATAAACTGGAAAACAATGATAAATCTCAAGCACACAATCTCATATGAGAATTATGTTACAGAATATCAAGAGCAAAGGTTTAGAAGACATTTTTCCTAACTTGGAAATAATATTTAAAATGTATATAATAGCAAATTTTACTGATGAATTTTTATTTTCCATGTTAAAATGGACTAAGAACTATTTTACTACATTTACATGATACAAGTTGAACTGTTCTTAATTTAAACTGATTTTATTATGAATCGACCTAAATTGTCTGACTTATATACATGTAAGTAATATTAAAGTGGCAAGTAATAATTTATAAAAATGAAATCTGAATATGTATTATGATTAATGTTATAACTTATCAAAATAAAAATGATTTTACCATTTACATGTACAAATATACAACCTATTTTATTTATAAAAGATTTAATTTCGTTAAACCACATATTCAATTGAAATTTAAAGCCTTTATATGATACTTGATTAAACCATTTTAATTTCTTTAATTATGCATGTAAAATTAGTATATGATATCTACAATGGAAAAGGACCATATAAATAAATTCAAAGTTCTTAAAAACAACAAAAAAGCAACTAAAAAAATTAATATAGAAACTTTATTGAAGCATTGAAAAAAAATACTTAACAAATATTTAAAAAAAACAATTTAAAATAAAAAAATAATCAAAGAATTACATTCAATTTTTATATTAAAACTCTTTTATCTTTTTAAAACTACACTTACGGATTTGTAATGCACCATGCTCAGAAACACAACAAGTAAAAAAGAAAACACAACCACAGAAAATAAGTTACATAATAGAATACAAAATTTGAAATTATTTAGAAATCATAATGGGAATAAAATTAAAATAAGAATAAAAAAACATACTTTCATACTTCATATTAAACTCAGTTTAACATGATACACATTTTCACAGCAATCTGGATTTAATGACATGCCAAAAAAAAAAAAAAAACAAGTGCTTTTAAATTTTAATTTCTACATCTTATAAATAATTTTGATATTACGTAAGGGAAAAAAAATTGCTAGAGTTTTTGAACTAAATATAACTATAACCTCACATTTAATAAATTGTATTATCAATATGTGAATGGCTCCAAATAAATATAAGTAAAAGATATACATAGATAATAAATGATTCGTGTGAATAATGTGTTAGTATACTGTTGTATATGTTATATACTAACACATTATTCACATATACTATATGTAAATATATAACATATACTAACACATTATTCACATATACTATATGTAAATATATAATGTGGTGGGAGCAGAAGCCCCTTAAAATTCTTGCCTTGAGTAATATTTTGTTTTAATCCAGGCCTGGTTATAACTAGGGCTAATGGCGCATTTAGACATTAAGCGCCTTAGGGTAAAATTTTCCAACCTCCCTCCCGACCAAGAAATATACATTTAATATTTTTTGTAGATAATAAATATAAATATATTTAAAATAATTATTAATATACTTCAACAAACAATATTTGAAAAATGTATTTATATTTTTAGTCATGCACAGTCTTGAGCAAATTCTTGAATAATATCATCATAGCTTATTGTTGTAGTGACATCAGCTTCTATGTTCATAACTGCTAATGGCAGATAGTCTTTCTTTGCCTATGTTTGATCTTGAGTATGATTTTATAAGTTTTAGATCTAAAAATAATCTCTCAGTTGAACAGTTACTAACTGAAGTGCATAATAATATTCTTAAAGCAATATCTATACACGGGAAGATATCCTTCAAATCGTTTTTCTTATAAACACTAACATATCTAGTATAATTTGAGGAGGATTGGAAATGGTTTTTAACTGTCAAAATAAATACATTCATTGGAAAATGAAGTTCCCAAATTTGTATTGTATTAATTTCTTAAAAGCTAAGCAGATAGCCTTATGCTGTCATTTTAGTTAGTTTAAAAAAAGTAATAATTTTTTAAAAGGCATATGCATTTTTTTTTTTTAAACAATTCTGACTTCAATTGATCGATAATTACAAAATATGTATTTACTTTAAAATTAGAGACAATACTTTCTGTTGAATTGCCATCACTAAATAAAATAATTTTTTTTTTGTCGTTTTTCAATATTTCTGAAGTTCATAATACCACATTTTTCAATAGCATTTTTTTTTTTTTTAATTTTCATAGTCTTTATCCATACAATTGCATATGTATCTCACATTATCATATGACTGTCCCCTTAAATAGTTAAGATTCAAATTTGTTTTATTCAGAATTTTTTATCACTACTTCAGCCATATTTTCTGATTGATGTTCAACATTATTTATAAAACATAAAACATTCAAATACATTACCATTCTCATCAATATATTGTACAACTAAAGTTGATCAGTGTGGGTAATATCTGGTGCTGATTCTTTGAACTTAATGAAAAATATTGTGAAGTATTGTCATCTTGAATAATAGTATTTTATACTTTTTTAGACATTAATAAAATAAACTGCTCATAAATATAATATGATAAATATGAAGTATGACCTTTACCGAGATTACCGTTTTTGGAAATATGGTTTGAGATAAAAGGGTCAAATTCAGCTAATAACTCAAGTGTCATCATAAAATTTCTTTTGACATCCATTTTTTGAAGTATACCTTCTGAATGCTAAACCTCTTGATGTCAATGTTTTAACAATTGTCACTATTCTTTTTAAAACATTGATCTAGTACATATATTAATTTTCAATTTATTGTATTATTTGTTGATCAATTCTTGAAAGTGTTTGTTTTCCGTTTTTTATTGCTAGAATATTTGAATAATGTTTTAAAGAATTTTCATGCTGTGATATGAGCTCATCAACTTTTTTAAGTTTGAAAATCCTTTTGAAGCAAATGAAGGTGAATTGAAATGTTGTCAAATAAGTATAGGATACAGTAAATTACACCCTTACTTTCTGAATACACAATGAAATTACGTTTAATTGAATCACCATTAGTTAGTCTTGTAATCTAATAGTTTTTATTGTAAAACCTTAACATTATATATAAAATAAAGTTGATTTATTTAAATTATAAAATCATTAGTTACTAAAACTTAAATTTGCATTTATAGTAAGTTTTATTAGTTTCTTTGTAAAGTTTTGTTTAGGCTCCTTTAGACTAGGTAAAATTTAAATCATTTAAATCTTGAGAAAATCTGTTTATACAAATATATTTTATAGTGAACTTGTTTCTTTTCTATAAAGCAAGATCACATCTATAAAAAATAACAATTATTATATTTTACTCTATAAATACTAAAATTAAGTGACTGGTATGTAAAATCATTATGAAGACGCTACAACCACTGAACATGGTTATTCTATAACATAACTAATAATCTTATAATTTTTATTTAATCACTTAATTCCTTTATAACTATTTAACCTACTAATTTTGTACACATAAATATTTAAAAAAGTATTTGTGTTATTATTTATATTAAAATGATTAAAATAATTTAGGTATTTTACAAGTAACTATTCAAATATTAACATAAAATAATTTACCCAGGATAATCATTAAGCTCAAACGAAAAATTAGCAGTTTCATTATTCTTAGATGACAATATGTCAAAATTTATCTCAGAAACACTATTTATAAAACAATAAAATACAATTATTTAATTGCAAATATAAAATAGTTACATTTATAATTGTTTATTTCCACTAATTTTTGTAGGCTTGTGCTGTTCAGAACTGTTTAAATTTGAATAATTCAGGTTCATATTTGTGTAGGTAGGTTTAATATTTCTAATTCATCAAAATTAAATTTAATATTATCATCCAAATTTATTATAATAACAAAAATTAAAAATAGTTTAAAAGTTTACTAGTTTTTATTAATTGATTAACTTCAACTAGTTAATTAAATACAAAAATTGGATCATTATAAATATCAATAGTTATAAGAGACTATAGTCTATGCTAGGTATAATGTAATGGTCTAATATTAATATAAAAAGCGAGTTTGGCATTTTTCTAAATAGATAGGTACTTTAAATAATTAAATATAAAATAAGATGTATTGTAAAAAAATTTGAACATTTGAAACATTGAGTTGTTATTTGTAATTTAATAAAAACAACTTAAACATACCATCTAATTTTCTAGAATTCTTAATTAATGCAACATGTTTTAATTTTTACTCGCTTTCTATATTCTGAACCACTAAGCTTTTTTTTAGCTTCCATATTGAAAATCCATGTACAATCTATTACAGAATATAGTAATATAAATGTAATTTATAATACTTAATCACTGTATAGAACCATAGATAAATGTATAACATTGTACTTACCAAATACCAGTTAAATCTAAAATTGTAGTTTATAGAAGGGATACTGGAAAACTGAATACTTATTTTGAAAGTAGAATGAATCAAAAACCAAACACTAAAGAGTAAATAAAATATTAACAGTAAGTGTCTATTGGCTGTATGAATAGTCAATTTATTACACAAGACACTCAAACATACGAGTTACTAGTAGATTGACAAAAATAAAATTAAAGTGGTTTGGCGGTCGGGAAAATAACTATGGATATTATATTATTTTTAACTTGTATTAGCTGTTAAAATGAAATTGACGCCACAGGTCATGTATATTATATAAATATATATAAATCATCAGTTATGAGTTAAGGTCTACATTTATTTAATAATATTTATATGTATTTGGTATAATATTTATATCAGACAATATAAAAAGATTGCAATTATTATATGTAGTGGTAAACTATAAAAAATGTTCCGCTCCTAGAATTTGGCGCCCGGGGCATTTGCCCCAGTTGCCTCCCTTTAAATGCACCACTGACTAGGGCTGGTAGAGTTTATACCTATGTAATTATAAATGCAAAATATGTACCTATATAATAAGTATGTGTATATTTTTTTCAAAAAAAGAAAAAAGTAAATAAAATGATTAAGATTATAAACATTTAATAATAAGGCACCTTAAATGAAAACTGTTCATACTATTTTCTAGTTTTTAAGGTGCCATGTCTATAACAAATGGTAAATGAACTTAGAATAAAACCCCAAACAAATTATAGAATATTAATCTAAAGAGGAAAATAACCCAATTTCTAAATAATAATTAAATAATCCTTTTGAATTGAATAAAATAGGCAAGTACTGTATACGTGTTTAGGAATATTGTGAAACATGATTATATCACAAATATGCGTTCTCATACTTAAAATACAATTATCATAGGTAATATAATATGAATATGCATATTATTGTCTGTTTGAACATGAATAAAATAAATTAATATACCTTATCAAAAATTCTGTCAAAACCATTACGTTTCACTGAAAATGATATATATTTGTTTAGTGATTCTAGAACTTTCACATTATTCATTTTAAAATATGACAATAATAACAATTTATTTATAAATCTAAACAAATATTTTAAATTAGAAAAATCACAGAATAAAAATTACATTAAATTAAAATGACAATATACTATTATGACTTATGACAAAAAACAAGAAAGATGAATCGAATAATAGACATTAATATTTTGTTACATAGAAATTACATATGTTTCACTGTTAAACTTGTATTGATATTTGTTATTGTTATCACTAAAATCGAGTTGGTACGATAAATAAGTGGCACTTTTGTTGAAACCACGGATTTGATATCATGAACTATAAATTGTATAATATTATAAAATATTAGAAGACGTGGTACACACATAGCGTTTAAAAATTAACTATCACAATACAGTTCGCATATGGGATTTATTGATAATCTATAAATCTATAAATTGTATGGATCGTTTATTATGATAGGATTATAATTATATGATATTGTTCGTGTGCGTAATTCATTGAGTAATGTAATGTAATCATAGATAATATATACGTGGATAGGACATTCCTATACCTATTGTACACGGTATACTGTGTGCCAAAAGTATACTCGTTACCGTAATGGTTATATGCGGTTACAAATACTAGTTTATGATAAACAACATTTTTATCACTAAATCACATTATACAAGACTATTTGATCAAAAGATTTCAAGTGAAGCCGTACGAAAAATATGTTTAAAAGCCGAAAGAGTGTTTAGAAGTCACCCAGTCAATACTGGTTGTAAGCAACATTCTGTATTTCTATGGTATAAAATTAAAACTAGTATATTCAAATATATATTATTTAATGATGATAATTGCGAAGAAAATTATTCAGTATTAAATACTCATAGAGACCAATTGACACATTTGATAATATACAAATACTTGGCAATCAGAATGTTTTACAAAATAAAAAAAAGAATGAACAATCAAAAATTAGCATTAAGTACACCAAATTAATTTTATTCTAACACCAATAATGTATCAAATTGTTTTAATGTTGTATTTAATTGTATTTAATATTTTTCAGACGAATAAAATGTAAATGTTTTAACGAAATTATACTCAATTTAATGCAAATAATAAATAATATTATTATTTTCCAAATGTTTGATTTCGGTAGTTTGCGAAAAATTGTGTTTTCGTTATCACTTGGTTGATACCACACTTTAATTATAATTAATCACTTTAGTAACGAGTATGCTCTTCGATCACACTTGAATACATTATATATTCCATCCATGTATATATTATCTAAGAATGTAAATAAGTACCAAGGTGATTTTACAAAATATAAAGGTGAATTGATAAATACACCTTGGTAAGAATGCTAAGACAATCGTGAACTACGATTTAAGATAGTTTATTATTATTTATTAAAAAAATACTACTTTGATAATGTTATCACTATCAAATACGCTGCATAAAATGAGATGCGATACCTGACTTTTAGTGAAATTTCAAAATAGAAAATTATTATTTAGAAATTAGTTTTTTTAATTATATTTATGATCACTAATTGTAAAATGTGACGTTTGAATTAGATAAAAGTGATTTAATAACATTTATTCTTATCATAAATAATAAATGCCTCATACAATGTTTTTCTATACAATTATATAATAAAAATGTATTTTCATTTATATAACAATACTTAATTATTTTCATTAATTAGTGCATTTAAAAGTTAGTTATGGGAGAGAGGAAATTCACTAAAGGTTTAAGACGACCTGGTATGGCTGCTCAACTCCGAGAAACTGTATCTCAAGTTGTCCGTGACAGTTCAAATAATGTAAGCTTTTTAATATTTTGAATTAATTAATTTTTGTTAAATAATAATGATTTTTTTTTTTTTTAAAAAAATTGAAATTACCAAGTATTTTAGTTTCAAATATTTCATCATAGCGTTATTATTATTACTTTGTTTATAGCGAAAATGTCATCATATAGAACCAATTGACTTTGAAGATTATATTGTTAAAAACCAAACAGTTTTTCAGAATGATCCCCAAAGAGAATTATTACTATACCCTTCTGATGATGTTTCAGTAAGTTAATAACTAAATTAAATACTTAAAAAAATGTATGGTTACTTAGTTTAGGTATATATTATAATTTCAAAAATTTACATTTGATTTTTTGAATTATATAGGTCATTGATATTAAAAATAATACAATTTTATTTATCATCGCACCAATCACATAATACCTTGATAAGTAACTAAAATAAAAATGTTTTTTTATAGCAAGTGATTTTACCTAGAAGATATCGAACTATGGATGCAAATATTCCTGCGAAAACTGATATTACAGCTTGTGCATTGTTTACAAAGAGATGTATAGAAAGTTATTTATCTAATTGGCAGTTTATACATTATAAATATAGTGCTTATTCTGGATCATATATTCAACTACCATTACAGTATTATACTTATTTAGTTATATTATAAATAATAATTTATATATTAATATGTGTGTATATGTCGTATCCACTTAGTGTAATCATATTTTTCATGAAATGGAAACTCTTATTTTACACTTTGTGTAATATTTTAAATTAATTACATCAATAGGTAACTTTTCGTGAAATCGAAATAACAACATTGATACTGGTAAGTATCGCACCACACTATATTTATTATTAATAAATTGTAAAGATGAGATATCGACCATTCAGCAGATAAATTTTAATCGATAAAATATATATTTAATAAAAATTCAATTGAATCAATTGTATAAGTGTGATACGATATTTTTATATGATGCCAGTACATCCTCTAACTTGAAGCGAGTCGTATATTAGCGTTAAAATGGAATTTGATTCATTATCTGAATTTTATGAACAGTTAAATGCGTACTACGTAGACAAGCCTGGGAAAAAGCCACCTACCAAAATTGGCGTTCAATTAATGATTGAAGACATTTTAGCAGCAAAAGTAAAAATGTAAGTAATCGTTAAAATATACAAAATATTAGTAAATAAAAATTATATATTAAACCACTTCAAATAAAATTATTACAATCAGCCATCAGGGCTTGTTTTACAAACACGTAACATAGCAAATTTACGCTCAGCAGTTCACGTTTTATTCCGTTGGATTAAAAATTAGATAATAAATATTTAAATAATATTTAATAATATTTACATTAAATATTTTTTAAATCATTGTACCTATTTAATCTATTTTTTTGTTTAAAATTATTGTACTGTCATTGTTTTTAGGGCAGTCAAACCAGAATTCCTGATTTAAAATTTGGTGATTGCGTCTTAATAACAGTGCCTAAAGTCGATCGAGGACCGTCAGATCTCGCCAATGTAATTGCAGTTATTGTCAATCAGAATGAACATAANCGGAACTAAATATGGTTTAGTAAAAGGCTGGTACAATTCAGCAAGTTTGAAACCCGCGACATCTAATTTTTTAAAAATTACTGAAGTTAATAATGATTAAGAACTTACATTACGTGAAACAGTTTCTCATATTTCTGGGGGACAAGGTTTTGTAAGTTGTATCTGTAAACACCAATGTGAAACAAAATGGTGTACTTGTTTTAACGCTTCTGTTAAGTGTAACAATCGTTGCCATAGCAGTAATAATATTTGTAAAAATAAGTAGTAAAAAGTATTTTGGGTTTTTTCATGTTACCTATTGATGTAATTAATTAAAATTTATCTGCTGAACGGTGGATATCTCATCTTTACAATTTATTAATAATAAATATAGTACGGTGCGATACGTACCAGTATCAATGTTATTATTTCGATNAAAGTGTAAAATAAGAGTTTCCATTTCATGAAATGGATAAAATATATGTTCGTTTCATGAACTAAAATTTGACATACACATTATGATCGTAGTTCATGAAATGAACATCCATTTCATGAAAAATATGATTACACTAAGTGGATACGACATATACATTTTAATATTAACCTAATATTCGTATATTGTTTTAGGTCATTTAAAAATGATCTCAAAGAACAAACATACGAAATTGACACAGACCTAGACAGATTAGATATAGTAATAATATATTATTTTAATTTGTTTCTAATTATTGTATAACATTATAAATATATTTAATATACTCTGCAGGATTTTAAAACAATTAAAACTGAAAGCACATTATTTAAAGAAGGATATTTATATAAAGGCCCAGATATTGGTAGTGGTGCATCAGAGCGAATGTTTGCTAATTTAGGCGGTTCAAAATCATTTAAGCGACGTTTCTGTATATTAAAGTAAATTAATGAATCTAGTTGACTTTTTTTTTTTCTAACAATATTTTTTAATTATTATTAAAATATCTTATTCGTATGATTAAATACTATTCATTATTAGAAAACAAGTTGATGGCACACATATATTGGAAATTTATAAAGATGATAAAAAAGATTTCAGATCCACTATAGTAATAGATTTGTGTGATAAAGTAATTCAGGTAAATATAGTATATTAAAAATAGAACTGCATACATTAGAGTTGTAGATATATTTTTTATTTTGATTAATTTGTATGTCATTTGTATGCATTTTAGAATAGTAAAAAAGGCCGATTTTGTTTTGAACTACGGATGACCGACACTGATAAAAGTTATTGTCTAGCTGCAGATTCAGAGAGCGAACTAATGGATTGGATAAATAAGCTGCAATTAGCTCTACAACATAGTAATGATAAACGCGAAGAAAATAATAGTATGAACAATTTTGATAAATATTCTTCTTCTCGAATTCTTTACTAGGCAATATTATTGTTAATAAGTGTTGTATATAATATACATATTAGTATAGAGTATTGATATTAAAAAGTAAAAACATATTGAGAGATGTCTCACGATAATAGATATCAGTTGTGTGTGAGCCAGTTAGTGCTACATCTATCATTTGATTAGCCAATGCTAAGTCATTTTTTGTGCATCCCACTAGAGCTATTCTGTGCAATAGTAGGTAGCTTGGCTTTCGCCACAGTCACAAAACAGTCCTCTTCACCATATCCCCATCTGATCATGTTAGCCCTCGTTTTGGCTACCCCTGTTCTCAGTGTGTTTAGTGTTTTTCATAAAAGTGATGGCACATTTCCGCCAGGTGGTAAGTGTTCCACTGGAGGGACAGGTGTCTCAGCTTGTAGTCCATGTACGTTAAATAAATATATACTTTTGCTTTTCAAATAGGAACCCTCCTTTTTAAACACAGATTTGAATAGAAAATATTGAAAATATGAAATGTTGATGTGTTGGCACAAATATGTTGACACTAATATCAAATGTACCGGTTTAAGTTTAGATTGGAGTAGGGGTAAAAAATTAGAAATGGTCTTAAAAAAAAACTTAACCGATTACATTATGATTAAAAAAAAATAAATCAAATTCACTTAAAATCATCCGAGAAATTGCTGGTTCATGATAAAAAATCACCATTAATAATTACTAAAATAATTAACATACCTGGTATAATTTATTATTATACCTGGTATGCTAATATTACCTACAAATACCTCTAGCTATCAATGTAGTTATTTCCAAACCTCATAATTGATGTTATTTAAATGTTAAAAACTGACAAAAGTTATTAAACTTATAACAAGTTTCATATAATTGCATAGTTTGCTATAGTATTGGACATGACAAATTTTGTGCCCGGAAATTACAATTTGCATACAGCATTCATTTTTTGTTACCATTTGAAAAAAAACTGCGGTAGAATCACCTTAAATGCTTGTTGAAGCTTACAGTGAGCATGGTCCTGGAAAATTACAGTGATTTGAGTGGTTTAAAATTTTAAATGAGGCGTTTAATTTTGACTTCAGAAACAAAGAACCAACAAATAATTTTGATGGAAAACAATGCTCTGTGTTTGGTGGGATCAGAAGGGTGTGATCTATTATGAGCTACTAAAACCTGGTATAACTGTTAATACTTAGCGCTACCAAAAACAAATGATCAATTTAAATCAAGCTTTGTGTGAAAACAACCAAAATATCACAAAAAGACAAGTGAAATTACCAGGCATGTGTGGATAAATATATAACTAGCAATGGGCAATACTTTCAATAAAATATTTGTTATCTATTTCATATAATAAATGTATATTTTCTGGTAAAATATTCAGGGTTTCATATTTCTAGACCTCGTAGAATTTATAAAATTATGTAAAATACTGTTTTTCTTAAAAAAGTTATAAAATAAAATATTTCATGTGTTTAACAAAACTGAATTTTTTTTAAGGATATTTAATTATATTTGTCAAATGGTTAAAGATATAAAACAAAATAAAAATGATATAAAATTTAAATTTTCTAAAAAAAAAAAATTATCAATAAAAACTTAATAGGTTCAGTTATTAAAATGTTTCACTTGGATTACTCTAATTACTCTTATTTTATAGTCAAATTAAATAGTGTACTAGTGGTGGCAGGTGTGGGAATTATTTATAATTTGTTTTTATTAGCCTGTGCTTTGCTAGAAAAACCACTGGAAAGAGATATTATCTACTTTGCATGCTGTTATTGTATTTTTGAGTTACTTCTTCAAGTTTGTTGAAACCAAATTATATGTGTAATCTGAATTGGATATTGCTATTTTTAAATTTTTTAAGAATGCATGGAAAACCATAAACACAAAAAATATATCTGTATGGAACTCGAATGAAAAATAAAAAAAGAATATTTTGTCACCAGTACACCAAGAAATGCTGTAATTTTGTTCGAAAATGATTACATAGAAGCAATCCAGTGAAGACTTCAAAGAATTTCTGGAACGTATAACTTTTGGTGAAACACCACTTAATGGAATAAATATCCTATAGCCTAATGTGTAACATCCAGAGAAATGGATGGCTCAAGGGATTTATTGTTTGAAGACATTTTCAATACTTTATGTATACCATTTTCCAAACAACCCACCTACAACAGTGGCTCCACCCATCCTCAGTATCAGCTATTTTTTTTAAAATTATTAATCTGATAGTTAATGAAAAAATGTGTACTATGCTAAAACAATATTCTTTATATTTTTATTTGAGTAGATATGTCTATTATTAAAATCATAAATGTCAGTTTTTAATGTTATTAATAATCAATAAATTTTATATATTTTTAGAAGAAATAAATCCTAGTGATAAGAACACACAAATAATACCGTCTACTTATAGTTTTGGTACATTAAAAGGCTTGGAGCATAGTGTTAATCCTCAATTGATGAAATACTCAAGAGAAACAGATTCCTTAAATACACATGCGCGTCAAGAAAATAGAAGACGACTTTTTCAAGTTTATTCATATTTAAATCAAGTAACTATCTTATGATCATTTAATTTTTGAATGTGAAATAAAATAAATTTTTATTACAGCCTTGTAATTATATTAGACAAAATATTTTAAATCAACCAGTAGACAGTATTTCAGAACAATATAAAGAGCGGTTTGGCCAGAGAATATTAATTGAATGTCAAGCATTAAATTTTCAATTAAATTTAAACAATGAAGGAAATAGTGAATTAAATAATCAAGTAAGTATTTGGATATAAAACTAATTTGTTTTACAAAAAGTTATTCAAAAAATTTATTTATGAGTGAATTGGAGAGTATAGATTCTATGTTTAAACATCTTAAATATTAAATTGATACATAACTAAATGACTAAGTATATCAGCAATATGTTCAGATTTGATTGTATTATGCATCATATGATAAAAACTGAAATTGTGATGTTGACTACAAACATTTTTCAGATTTTATCATTGTATGTAATATCCTGTCAAATAGATGAACTAGTCATATGTTATTTTACTTAGGACTGATAACATAGTATGGAATGCTGACATACTAAGTTATTTAGCTATGTTTAAGTCAACTTGCTTTTATTAAATTTATTAGATATAATCTATCTATAATGGTTTTTTTTTTAGGTAGAGCCATATTTTACAACTTTAGCATTGTTTGATATACGGTCTGGCAAAAAAATATCTGAGGATTTCCATTTTGACATTAATCATGACAGTATAACAAATTTAATTAATTGCGAAAATGAAAATGACAATTATAATTTTATTGAGTTAGCGAAAAATTGTAAAGTGACAAAAAAATGGTTATACAAACAAAAACAAGTGAATTTAATTTAACAATATTTTATCATAGATTCTCTATGAGTTGAAAAAAATTCTATTGGAAACTATGTATACATTAATATTGATTTAAAAATAGTAATAACTATTTTTTTTTACAAATTTGAGTTTGTATATTATTTTGGAATGTCTATCTACTATTTTATTATAAATGGTTTTCAAAATTATAATTTACAAATACGGACTTATAATCTAACTGAAAAATTCAAATTATGCATACTTTCTTGGGCTGGAATTTTTGAAACAAAAATGATTTAATTGTGGTAACCCTTTTCTCATCAAATATTTAGTACTTCTACTGTGATATTTGCATGTACCCAAGCCCAAATTTCAACAATACACCACTGAAGAAACCTTCTACCTAACCAAAAAGTACAAATATTTGATTATATTTCAGGCAATAATGTGTATATCCAAACCTCATTCAGATATATTCTTATTGTTAAGAATAGATAAAGTTCTTCAGGGCAGTATTGTTCGTGTTTCTGAGCCATATATTAAAGCATCTTCTACACACAATAAGGACAATGGTCTAAAAGTATTTAAAGCAATTAAGAATATTTGTTATAGGTACATTATAACGTGAACAATTTTAAAATCTTGTACCTAATTTATTTTAATTGACTGGTATTTAGATTAGGAAGTTACCATATGCCTTTTGCTTGGTCTGCAAAGCCATTATTTCGATTATACAATTCTGAACTAGATACATCATTTGATTTTATGACTTTATATAGGCAAGATCTTTCCAAGCTAGGAGATGATGACATGTTAAGAATATTAATGGATTATCGAAAGTAAATTTTGGGTGATATTTTATTTTAAATAATATAATTAATAATTTTTAATTTAAAGACCAGAAAAAATGAATAAATATGTAGTTATTCCTGGCCATGTCCAGATAAAAATTCAACCTCTAAACACCATTCCAGAAAGTAAGAATTATATAAGAATTATAGTAAAAAATTATACCTTTTGTATATTCATTATCATGCAAAAAGTGATCAAGTGTAAAAGTTGAGTTAGTATAAAAAAAAACACTATTAAATGTATATCATCTATGTTCTATAATATATATATATAGGGAGGTCCAAAAAAAATTACTAAAGAAATTCAATATGAGTATCCCCATTTTTTTAATTGATGTGAAAAATTATTTTGTGAAAATATGAACTCACTCCCGTGTTATAATAGGGTTGAATTATAGCAAAAGGGAGTTGTTTTAAATTTTTTTTATAGTTATTTTGAAGTATTTTCTATAATTTATATTTTTTAGCTAAATACTTTATTTTTCCAAAAAATCGAAAAACCTGAAAAAAGGGGCTGTTTTTCAGCTTTTGAAAATAAATTTTTTTTTTTTATAATTGGCTAAAGATTGAATATTTTAATGAAATAGGACTTATTTTGTTGTATCTTATTTATAAATAAATGAATACAAATTAAATTATCAAAAATACTTTGAAATAATCTTACAAAAAAATTAAAAATAACTCCCTAGTGATATAATTCCACCCTTTTATGGCACGAGAAAGAGATGAGTTATCCAGTCCATATTTCATAAAATAATTTTTTCATATAAATTTAAAAATGGGGGATACTCATTTTTAATTTCTTAAAAAAATTTCAAGCCTAAATAGATTTGGACAACCCTAATATATATGTATGTTTGAAAAGTGTCCTTTGTAAAAAGTTCAGGAACCACTTAATACATAATACTCAATTAAAACAAAATTGAATACAATTTAATACAAAAATATTTTTAATGTTTGAATTATTTTATCACTTTTTGCACCAGAGTAGAGATCAGAATTTTATTTTTTCATTAATTAATTTTAATTTTTTTTTAGATGTTTTAACCACATGTTGGACAGCAGTAAAACCATTTCCAATTCCTCCTATTCGAAATCATGCAATCATAGAGATTGCTGAATTGTATCCTGGAGTCTATCCACTTACAACTTATTTTAATCATATGTATGTATATCCAAAGTCATTAGCATTTGACACACAAAAAAATGTCTCCAGAGCTCGTAATATTACATGTATGGTACAATTGTTTGACTCTGATGATGAAACAGCAAAGCCCCTTAAGGTGATAATATATTATAATTAAGTTAGTTTCATACAAAATTTGTCCGGATGAAAAACTAATATTTTTCTTAAAAAATATAGTGTATATATAGCGCATGTGGTCAATTATTGGATTCCATATGTACTAATGTATTATATCATGTAACTAATCCTGTTTGGTATGATGAATTTAAACTCAGACTTCCATTAAACATTAACGATAAACATCATTTACTATTTACTTTCAAGCATATTTCAGTAGATGGTTCTCGAAAAAAACAGTCAAATATTTCTGTGGAAACAATCGTAGGATATTCCTGGCTTCCACTAATTTGTAAATCAAAGTAAGATCTGTGCAGCATTTTATTCTTTTCTGTAACCTAAATTTTGATGAATTAATTATTTATTTTGTACTCAAAATATTATTATTATTATTATGAAATAAATGGGTTTTAAATATTAAACATAATTTAGATTATATAATATTCACCAAAATAGGAATATTGTTAAAACAATTTATAGTATTTCTTTCTTTTCCAATTTCGAAATAATGTTTAATAGGATAATCTTTATTTTTAGATCAAGTTCTTAAGTGAAAAACTAATTAAAAATAATTTTAAAAAAATTCTGTACATTTTTAGATTTTTATTTGATACTAGATTACACCTCATAGATGTTGAATTTTGCCTATATATGTGTGTCCTTACCACGTCTAAAACTTTAATTTATCCCTATGCCTATGTATATCAAAAAAAATCTTTAACTGGTAAGAATTGACTAACAACTATTAACCTTCAAATTTAAAATTAAGTAAAAATAAATATATGTACAACTTCCCCAATTAGTGTTTTCTTTCAAAGGAAAGATTAAGTTAAAGATTTTTACAGATATACTTATCATAAAGATAAATTTAAATTTTAAATTTTTTAAAAAAGGCGTGTATTTTAGTTAAAAAAATTCAAACATCAAAACAAAATCTAAAAAATTATAGAATTTTATAAAAATATTTTAAACTGGTTTTTTCTTTAAGACACTTTGAACTCCAAAAAAAAAAAACTCAAATAGAATTTTCGCTAATTATTTTTATCGCTTAAAAACATTATACAGTTTGAAAACTATTCATAACTTACATTATAGGTGTGATAATTATTTAAAAATGTATAGTATCTTAATTTGAAAATAAAAATAATATGAAAAATGAAATATACATTTATTTTGTCAAATTTAGAATATTTTTCATTTCCCTTATTAACATGTTAATAATAATAAGTTAATTAACTTTTATATATTGTATTAATAATAATTATATTATTTATATAGACTAAATTTGGAAGTAAAATGTTTACCTGTATCTGTAAATTTGCCTTCGGGATACCTATCTGTAAAACCATTTGGACTCGGAAAAGGGGTAAGATTTAGTTTACTATTTAGTTTTTAGTATTTCACAATTATACTTAGCGCTGTTAATATTAAATTTTTTTCAATCAGATTGTCTTCAAGGGGGACATTGATTTAGAGAAAAATAAATAATTATTATTTTCCCCCCTAAACACACAAAAAAAGAACTATTTATTTATTTTAGAAAATATTCAAAATAGCCATTTATAAAAAATATTATTCTTAAAATTTTAATTTTTCATGCATTCATATTTTATTAATATTTTCTTAATTAGAGCTGGGTTTTTTTTTTTTGGAAAAATCAATGTGAATCAATTAATATTCAATAGAAGGTAAACAATTACCTTGCTGATTGTAATTCCTTATTGTGTAACATGTTATTTTATTAAATATTAATTATTTTCACATCTATTTAAAGCTAATTAAGCTATAATTAAGAAAATATTCATTGGATATGGATGTGTGATACATTAAAATGTTATAATATTTTTTACAAAATGGCCATTTTGAAAATTTTCTAAAGTAAATAAATAGTTTTTTTTTTTTGTGTTTAGGAATTGAAAATCAAAATTAATGTCTAATTGAAAAAAATCTGAAAATATTTAATATTAACAGTGCAAGTAAATTCCGTCAACACAGTGTGAAACACTGTAGTCTAATTGGTTTTATTAATTGTCATTTAAGTATAATTTGTATTTATACCTTTAGTATTGTGGACCTGATGTATGTTGGATAAATGAACAAAAGCCTTTGTTTTCATTCAAATGTCATCTATTATCTAGTGTATATTCATCAGACAATCATATGCAAAATCTATTTGCACATATAGAACGTTTGGAAAATAGTAAAACTACTACAATAACACCTTCCCAAACAGAAACCTGTAAAATATTAAAAGTAAAAACAAATATTGTTTTTGACTTAATATAATTTCTTAATTACAAACAATTTTCAGGCGTCACATGCTATTGATTTAATTTCTGTTATCAATTTTTTTCCAACATTGTTTAATCAACTATTCAATTTACTTGCCTTTACTAATTGTACTAATATTGCAGTAAATATAATACGTTTATTGATCCATATAGTAGATTCAATTCAAGAATTTGGCCATAGTGATACATTAAACATTTATATAAAAGTAAGTTTACATTTATTTATTAATTATTAATTTAATTATTAATTGCACTAAAAATTAAAACTTAATACTTAGTGCTTGTTATAAAAATGATTTTGAGTTATTAATTTACTAGCAAAGCACAATATCTGTAGTTTTTAATTTCTTGGAAATTAATTATGTAACATATTGTTATGATTTTATTATTATTTGTTTAATGTTTGTTTATTTTCAGTATGTTTTTACCACTTCAACAATAAAATCATCTAATAACACTGTTCACAATCAACTTCTGGCTAATTTACCGAGTTTACTTAACCCAGATAATACTGATTTTTTATTGATTAATAAATTTTTAGTTAATTCAAATTTTTTCTTTCAAATTATTATAAAAAGTATGGGACAATATCTTTTAACATCAAACAGAATTAAGGTATGTAGAAATTCATCTATTTTTATCTAATATTATTAAATATTATAAGTAGGGAACATGCATGTTGATAAATATATAAAAAAAAAAAAAAATTCATAATATAATAAGTATTTATTATTATTTTTATTACTTTAGATGCGTCGAAATGAACGATTTTCTTCAGAATATCAATCTCTAGTTCAAAATATGTTAATTAATGTACTGTTACCATACATTATAGACAAACACAAAGAAATACCTTCACAAGTAGCAAAATTGAATATAGCCGCAGCTCATTTTCTAAAAAAGTGTTTAACATTTATGGACAGAGGATTTGTTTTATGTCTAATAAGTTTGTATATAAGAAACTTATCTACTAGCGAATCAAGTTTTGTTAGAAGTGCAAAATTATTATTTATTAAAATAATTATATCACATGAACACTACATCTCATTTAATTTACCCGAAAATAATGGGCAAACATTTCAAGGATGGTCACCTTATTCTCAGTATTACATGTCTGATGAATACTCTCGGCATCATTTTCTATCTGCAATATTATTGCGTGAAGTTTCAAATTCATTTTGTTTACCATATGAATATCGTCAATCAGCTATTATTTGTTTACGAGATTTACTTGCCAAACATGAATTGGATGATCGGTATCAATTGAAGGTATTAAATTAATTATTATTTAATGTGAATAAAAATAATGCCTTTCCTGTACCTACTATTCCATTATTATCCCATTGTAAAATCCCATTCGATTTTTAAATAATATAAGACTAATTAGACAATCATATAAATTGGTTTATGCAAAAAGGGCGCATATTCAAATTTTAAAATTGTTCGGGAAAAAGCAAAAATACTCAATATCTGAAAAAATTTCATATTTTTAAATTAATGTGTTATAGTCTGTCTTGTAAAGTGTTTGAATAATTATATTTAAATACTTTTAAAATTATTTTTTAGTATTTCAAATACAATTTTATTAAAGTATTTTTTTAGCATTCTGAATATTTTTAAATTCTGAGTGGAGTAAAGAAGCTTATGATTTTATAGATATGTTTATTTATTTAATTTTTTAAAAATAAATTTTTAGAACTCTTATAATGAGGTAAAGTTTTCCATTTAAAATATTATGATTTATTCTGAATTTCATTTACATAAGATATAAAGAATTGACAAACATTTTTTACTTATACTTTATAAGGAAACGAAACAAACAAAAATAATAATAAAAGTATATTAAGTATTAAATATCTAGAAAATTGATGAATTTTAACTGGTCAAAATCCTTTGAACATCGAATATGGGTCTTTCTGTATCAGCTATTAATATAAATTATTTTAATAATTATTAAACTTACAAAAAGTTTGATAATTAATATTAAAACTTTATAATAAATATATTAAAGTTTACAATAACATATTTGCATAATTTAATAACTATCCAACTATAACAACTTTTATGTTAGAAGTATTGCTCCAATAAAAGATGACAAGAGACCTTTTGATTTTTAGGGCTTCATACAGTAGATTATTGACATTCAATACATACCAAGGCACTTTTGTAACTATTCAAATAAATGACTTGGAATGCCTGAATTGTTTTTATATTAGAACATTTAGGGGAACCTCAGACAGCAGTTATAATGGTATTAATATTATTATTAATTTATGTTGATAGGGACAGATGGCAAGAATTGCTTCATTATATTTTCCTTGGCTTGGAATTGTAATAGAAAATATTGGTCGGTTAGATTATAAAAAACGAATAGTCAATAATATAACTTACCGATCTATGAAATTATCTTCAGCAAGGTATTTTTAAATTAGATATATACAAGTATACAATTTCATAATAAATCATTTTATAATCATAATGCATTTTTCAAACTTTAGACCTGGAAATGATGTGGGGCCTAGAATATCTTTGAACTTGAGAGATTCTACATATTTTGCAGCAATTGCTAGTCACTGTAAGTTTACCAAAAGATATTGTATTTATATATTCAAACACATTCATACATTTGTATTTAGAATAATGTGAAGTGTTCTCTCAAGTTTACAGTTTTAAGAAAACTAATTTGATTATTTAATTAAACATGATTTTAAATTGTGGAAGTCAATTATTTAACTAAATATTCTATGAGTTTAATAAACAATATTTTTATTTTAATGTTTATTTCGTTTTAGTGACACCATCTAAAAAATTAGCTAACCAGAATCAACAGGAAGAAAAATTAATAAAAACTAATTCAAATTTAAGTATAAACTCTTGCACCTCAAATTTGTCATCTCCCGATCATACAAATTCAATTATCTCTCAAGAAATAACTACCAGAAGAAATTCTTATGTATCCGATTCCTTGGGAACTAATAGGGATCAGCATTCTAGATCTGTAAGTGGTAACCAAACTTTTCACATTACTACAGACACATCAGTAAATGCAATAAGTAAGCTGGAACCTACTGAAGTCAAAGATGTACTTGTGAGTTTTTTGTTTATTTTAAAATATTCATCTCAAGATCAATTGGTTTCTTGGTGGCGTTACTGTTCAGAACAGGATATTGTGGCATTTTTTAAAATAGTTGAGTAAGTATAAAAGATAATTTTTATTATCATTCTCCATAAGCATATTAGTGTTGTAATTTCATTAACATGTTCAGTAGTCATTATATATGTAAATATTAAGGGCATAAACTAGATTTGTTTTTATTTTGTATAGATTATGTTTACAAGAGTTTCGATACATGGGACGTCAGCATATAACAAAAGAGTTTGCTGAAAATAATCGAGATAACGTTCAACCAAATTCTGCTGCTAATACAAAAAAGTCTATGACATTACCTGCACGGATGCAACCACCATTTGAATTTAATATGGAGACTACAGCTAATTTAAATTGCCATCCACAGTTAACATTAATTAGTAATGGTACAAGCAGTATTGGCCGTGTAGACAATTCTAAAAAAGGTTTTTAATTTAGCTCTAGTATATGTTTATTCAAATGATAGTAGGATTGATATATTATTACATTATTATAAAAAGTGGAAAACATTTTTCATACAAAACTAAACATTAAAAGAAAAAGAAAACTTTTATTTTTATTCTATTAAACATATTATTAACATTATCCAATTAATACCAGTTAATATGTTTTCATTTTTATTTATCCAATAATATGTAGTACATTTTAATTATTACTACATAATTTTTATTATTTACAATGTTTTTTTTTTTTTTTTAGATAATACAACCCTTGATGATGATCTAGCATTTCAAATTCTATCAGAAGCTAATTTAACAGCAGAAGTGAGCTTAGTGGTCTTAGATGTGTTTTCTTCCTATTGCATACACTTCAAGGATACTTTAATGGCATATAATGGTGAAAATGATGTTATGGAAAGCATTTTTTCCTTACTTATGTCATTTTTATGTATCCCACAGTCAACATCAGTTAGTGCACACATTTTTGCTACTTTACGCTCATTTATAAATCATTTTTCTTGCATATTATTTAAAGGTATTTATTGTCTTATTTGGTTTTATAAAACTAAATATTTATTAAATAGCTACCTAATAATCTTTTAATTTTTAAGGCAATGCTAATTTCGTCAGTAAACTATGCTTTCAATTATTGAATGGATGTAATAGTCGATGTTCTATTTTACGCCAAGAATCTTGTGCTGCACTTTATTTGTTAATGCGAAGTAATTTTGAACTTTCCTCCTCAAATATTACCAGAGTTCACTTACAAACCATTATTGGGGTATCACAATTATTAGGAGACTTAACAACTGCTGGTCTTAATAACTCATATTTTCAAGAAAGTCTCTCATTGATAAATAGCTACTCCAATAGTGATAAAGTGATGAAAAATACTGGCAAGTAAAAATACTATTATATATTTAATTACGTGTGTTGTGGCATATCCATAGGAAATTGGGAGAGGGGTATCCTATGCACTAAATATTTATAATTTGTTACTTTATTGTGGACAGGTAATATTATTATTTATATTTACACAGCATATTTCTTTTCCTTAACCCATACCCTTTAAAATAAATTGATTAATAAATAAATATGATTTATACATTTTAGTTTTTCAAATATTTAATTTCTATAAAAATACAATGTAATTTATTTTCCAAATTATTTATAAAATTCAATATACAGGTTATCCTACAATTTTATCCTTATACTAAAAATTCTGTAAATATTTATTTTTTTTTTTAAAAAAAAATTTTCAATCAGGTTTTGTGCCACACATGTGTAGAGAAAAATTAAATTTTTATTTTCATCCGGTAATCATTAAAAAAAATAACTTTTTATTTTATCACTTTTCAAAATAGCCATTTCATAAAAGATATTATTCTAAACATTTCAATGTAATATACATTCATATCAAATCATTAGTTTTTTTAGGAATAGCAGGTTTAATATCTAGAAAATGAGTGTGAAAACAATTAATTTTCAATAGAATAACACATTATGCAATAAAGAATCAACAATCATTATGGTAATTCTCTATTTTCTATTGAATATGAATTCTTTTTGGCCTATTTTTGAGAAACTAAAAAGGCTATTATTAAAGAACTATTGATTTGGTATTAATATATGTTACATTATAATGTTTAGAATAATATCTCTGACAAAATGGCTATTTTGAAAATTTTGAAAAATAAAGTTATTTTTTTCAATGATTAAGAGATGAAAATAAAAAATGTTTTTTTCTCTGCATATATTTGCCCCTCATACAAAACCTGATATAAAAAAAATAATAATAATATTGATAGAGTTATTTACCATTAGAATAACACTGTATTATATTTTGAATCCTTTATAAACCATTAGGAATTAATTTGTTAATAAGTATGTATTATTTCTGATTGTGAATAATACTTGAATTGATGTAATTAAATATTATTAAATTTTGAGAGTAAGTTAAAGAAAAATAAACACATTATGTTGTAACATAATTTGGGCTAGGTCTTGGGTAAGAATAAAATGTTTTATAGAGAGGAGAGCTATTAACTAGAAGCTAAGACTAAAACTAGTAGCTAAAACTTATTTTCAGGGTGGAAAGGTAGGATTTAGATAAAGAGTTTAATATTATTTTATTTAATTATAAGATAATATCTATTAAATAAACAAGCCAATTAATATATATTAATAACTAATAAACTATATAATCTACAATAGCAAATCTTCTTTATTTGGCTGCCATTTTTATTTAGTCCTCTATCTATGGGTATATTTCTATATACTGTCAGCATTTAATAAATTCTAATTAATAACATATTTAGTTATTAGGCATGGTATGTGTATTTATATATAATATACTAATTTTTAATTATAAATACCTCTGACATCCTATTCTGTAAGTAATTTTTAACAGTATAACCTTAGCCACCAATTATAATTTTGGTTCAAATTTAATCAAACATATTTAAATTTATATTTATTTACTATTTAACAATATTTGAGTAATACTTATTTATAAACTATTTATAACTCTTAGAAAAAAAGCTGGGAGTTGACACCTTCTCCCATGATTACGTTACACAATATATAAAATCAAATAACTAGTCTTTTCAAAATAAAACATTGATTTAAATGAACAAGTAAACAAATTTATGTAAACTGTAGGGTTTCCAGTACAAGTGAAAGATTTGACAAGACGTGTGAGAACAGTACTTATGGCAACCGCAAGTATGAAAGATCTGAATCACGATCCTGAAATGCTAGCGGACCTTCAGCATAGCTTGGCCAATTCTTACGCCTCCACACCCGAATTGCGTTTAACGTGGTTGCAGACTATGGCCCGCAGTCATGACGAAAATGGCGATAATTCTGAGGTTCTATTGGAGTGATTTTCATTTTATTTATATATATTGAACATATTTTTAATTTTACCCATATTGTTTTATTCTGGGACTACACAGAGCACTATGAAAAACAGTTATGATTATTTTTCAGCTGAAGTGGCAACACAGAATAATGTACACTGTCATAAATTCATAATATTCGAGTAGGTAGATAGGTCCGATAATGATGTATTATATGTCTCACTCCCTCCAGTGTTTGATTATACTTTTAGCAACGTATTTTTTTCTGTATTCTTCCACTTAACTTTAAACTTTGATATCACACAAGTTGGTACTCTTATTTTCACCGAATACATTTCCTGGTTACACCAAAATTTTTTCATTAACTTCACAGACCCCTAAAATTCTCTTAATTTCTTCTGCCTCATTTTCTTTGGCCTAATTCTTCCCCAGCATCCACTAACACTTAATTCACTTGTTTTCTTGACTACTTTATTATATTTTCTCATTTTTGTGCAATCTCAGTGTATTATGTTATATTTTTCTTGCTACTCCTATACTTCATGAGAGATGATTTTCTCACACCATTGCTACCCAAAAGTGCGTGTCTATAATCAAGTGCCCAGTGATCAATGAGTTTTTCAGTCGTTCTCTCATGGGCCAGAGTATAGTTTAAATTATATTCAGGGTGTCCCACGAAGATATACCTATTATAATATCTCTAAAAATATTAATTTTTTTCAGAAATTATTTTTGTAAGCTTAAGAAACAAATAGTTCCAAGATGCCACATTACTTTTTTCCACCCTTATTTTAGGGGTGAAACAGCTGCCTACTTTTGATTTTTAAATGGTAACCCCTATATTGAAAATACTTTAATAGATAGAATATTAATTAAAATAAATATTTGGTATTTTGAAATTTTTGATTTCCATCAAGCTGTTCAAGAAATATTCCAATTTTAAGTTTAGACTTAGACTTAGACTAAAATAAAATTAAAAAAGACTGCCCTTAATTCAAATTTTGCTAAATATGTTTTAAAAAAATAACTGTAATATAAGTTTTAATATTAATACAGACTTAGGAATATTAAATACACAAAATTATATTTACATTTTCAGTTTTAGAAAAATTACACTTACACAATAGAATAAAGAAAAATATTCAAAGTAATTTTAAAAATATATCTTATATCAATAAATTTTGGATAAAAAGTAATAACCAAATAATTTATGTTTCTTAACATATTCTATGTCTAATAATAATTAATTTTAAATAGTTTTTCTTATTAAAATTAATTATTTATATATTCTATGTAAAAGGACCAATTTGTTTAATTTTTTTTTTATGTATTCCTTCATTTAATTTTTTATTTTCAGTAACATTTTATATTTTGACTGTGATATATCTGATGATGAATTTTTAATTTGAATCTGTGTAATACACTTATCATAATATTCCAGGTGATACATTCATTAATTTATTTTTAGGTATGTTAATTGCACTTTCTATTAAAAGTACCTCCCTCTCACTTCCAATTTTTGGATTCAGGATATCTAAGGGATTTAGTGATAAGAGAATGGTTTTAATACCAAATAATTTAAATTGGCGCCCCACAAAAGTCCTCTCCATAATTTTATATCATAAAATTTCTTCCAAAGGACTTAGCCTGGAATTCATCTGATCACAATCAAACTTTGGAAACTGTCTCTAGGTCACCCCAAGACCACTCTCACTAAATTTAGTAACAATAGGAAAGGATAAAAAAAAAGGATGACTCTAACGTGATTCATGAGGCATCTATACTCCACATAGTAATTTGGGAAATAATAATATTTTATTCTTATAACAAAATATTTTGTTACATGATTTATACAAATGTTTTCTAACTATTTCTATAATGTTTTCAAAAAAATATGGAAGAATAATGGAGACAAGGCAGTTACTGTTATAGATAATTTAATGTATACCTGTAAGCAACAATAAACCTTACGAAAAAACGACTCTGAGCAGAGTTCAGATGATAGTGATGCTTTATCAACAATATATATGCCATATTATAGTAAAATAATTTAATAGGTTCTATATATTTTCTTTAATAATATTTGTTTAACGGTGCACTAATTTTCCCGGTTTTCCCAGTTTTTCATATTTGAAAAAAATAAACATCTTTGTAAAACCATAAGCTTTTGAAGTTATTCACAATCCCTTTTAATTTTTACTTCTTAGACACTTATAACAAAACATTTTTTACCCATACCTTTTTTTAGTTTAGACAATGTGATTGTGTGGTTCTGTTTTTCTTTATTTTCTTGTATTGTACATTATTTACTAACTTTTTATTTAATTTTGTTGCATCTATTATTAATACAATAAAGTTTTTGCATTATAGTTATAATAAACAAATGGATTTTTCTTTTTAAATCAATAGGTTATGGGCCCAGTTACCTTATAGTAATTATTTAAAAAAAAATCCTCATCGTTGTTTAAGTTTCATTTTTGAAATGGAAGAGAACAAATATAAAGTGCTGTTATTCAATGGGAAGAATTTTTCCAACTGGAAATTTAAAATGGAAATATTATTTGATGAACAAGACGTTTTAATTTTTGTCATGGAAGAAATAACAACTGAGAGAAACAGAAAGAAATAATTAAAATGTAAATCTTTAATTATTCAGAGAATTGTTGATAGTCATTTGGAATTCGTGAAAGACAAAAACTCAACAAAAGAAATTTTGGACACTCTAAATAAAATGTTTGAACAGAAAGGTGTTGCTGGTCATTTTCATATAATAAGAAAATTGTTAACAATGAAATATGATAAAAAAGATTCATTGGAGTCACATTTTATATTATTTGAGTGTATGAGTGTATGTAAGCTTCAAGGACCTGAACAACAAATGCACAAATCATTTTTAATAAATATGTTATTGTTAACTTTACCTCTGTCATATGATAGTATAGTTATTGCATTGGAAACTATAGATGATAATAAACTTTAAATTTTGTTAAAAATAAATTATTGGATATTGAACTTCAGCACTCAGATAATAATAATAAAGTTAAGGAAACATTTGGAGCAGCTTTTTCTAAAAATGTAAATAAATATTTAATTAAAAAAACAGTTTCCATTCAAATGCTATATCTGTGAGCGAATAGGTCATAATCGTTCTGACTGTCCTATGAAAACTGAAAAGCCTAAAACACAACAAAAAACAAATAGGGCAAATCATACTGAGGAAGTTACTAGTGAAAAAGAAAACATCGCTTTTCATACTCAAATTGTAATCACTATGAATGGAAATTGTTCAAATTCAAATACAATATATTGATACTTAGGTTCCAGAGTACTCCAGATACTTGGACCACATAATGAATAGTACAGAATATTTTACAGAATTCAAGAATTGGAACAACCTATAAGAATTGCTGTGGCCAAACAAAAGAAAATGCTCTTTGCCAGATACTCAAGTACAATCCATTCTCAATACTGAATGCAATGTTGAAAATCTATTTAAAAAAACTACTTTTAGAAATATACTATTTGTACCAGACTTATTACATAATTTATTTTCTGTACAAAAAATTGAAGAGAAGGGAACGAATATAACATTTTACAATGCTCATGTTTTAATACAAGATAATAATTTAGTCACCATGAGAGAAAGAAATGACAAAATGTAACAAATTAAATTTAATATTTATATGCATGATTCAGCTAATGCTAATTTAGTTATTGAAGGAAATGCAGACTTATGGCATTAAAGCCTTGGTCATTTATGTAAATAAAACTTGTCTAGACTAATAAGAAAAGAAATGGTTGATGGAATTAACATTTCTACCAATGATATCAATGAACTTAATATTGTGTGTGAATCATGTGTAGAAGGTAAATAAACAAGACAAACATTCAAGGAAAGATTACTTCAACAGTCAATTCGCCCTTTGGAGCTTATACATACTGAAGTTTGTGGTCCAATATCACCTGTAACATGGGATAACAAGGGTACTTTTTAACATTAATTGATGACTTCACCCACTTTACAATGGTCTATCTTTTGTCAAAAAAAGTGAAGTATTAGAATATGTTATGCAATATGAGGTTTATGTAACATCAAAATATAATTCTGAAGTATCTCATTTAAGATTTAAAGATCTCATTAAAGAATTTTGTTTTTTTAAGAGTATTCATTATACCACAGTGTATACACCTCAATTAAATGGAATAGCTGAATGCATGAACAGAAGTCAAAAGAAAAAGCTGTTGTATAATACTACATTTTGGTGTTAAAAAGGAGTTATGGAGAAAGAATTTTAGTATCTACCTATAGATCAAACAGAAATCCATGTCCTTCATTACAATGTAATAAGACTCCAGCTGAGTTGTGGTTATAAAAAGGGTAAATTTTTCTAAATTGAAAGTTTTTGGTTGTGAAGTTTTTATTTACATTCCTGAAGAAAAAAAGAGCGAAGTTAGATTCAAAAACCAAGAAATGTATTATGGTTAGTTACAACATAAATGGTTATAGACTTTGAAGTAAATATAAAAATAAAATAATTGTATCAAGAAATATAATATTTAATGAACAAATATTTTCAAAATTGTATATGTGAACTTCAATGATTTTTCTTTTAAATAAAATACTTCGCTCCACTCGGAATCTAAAATTAAACGTTTTAGAAATATGAGATTAAAATGTTTGATGAATATTATTCAGAAATATTTTCTAAATATGAACTATTTGGCCAAAAAATATTTCGATAATATTTACACCATTATATAACAATAATCGAAAATATTTTGACAACTATAAAATTTTCCTAAAAATATTTTGTTCGTATCATAGAAATATTTTTTTTGCTGTGTGGGACATCAAGTATATCTCCACAGGATTTATTCTACGAAATCTAATCAAATTTACCTTACCTGCTGGTAAAAAAAGTTGAACATTTTAACCGGGGTAAATCATAGCTTAGCTTTCCATACATTTTTGTATGACCACTAATTGCAATAATGATAAATGATCACAAACATAATATGTAGCGTTCTCTGTAGTCTGTACCCACTATGCCTATCATTATAATATTATATAGGTAACAATTCGCCAATAAACGTGAAACGCACATTGTGTTTCAGGCTGCGCTTTGTAGACTGCATATGGCCGCACTGGTGGCGCAATATAGGAAATTGAAAGGCACCCAGGAATGGGGCGCCGAAGCGTTCGCGAAAATCTCGTCGAACATCGTCCGGGACGAGACGGGGTTGCAGCTGGATTTTGCGAGTGGCATGGCGGCGGCGGTCAACGACACGTTGTATGGTGAACAAGCTCTTTTAGAACGACTGGAGGAGTGCGCGGTGAGCTTGCGCCGCGCCGAACTATACGAGTGTCTGGGTGAGCTCTATAAGCTTATTATTCCCGTGTATGAACGGCGTAAGGATTACCATGCTTTGGCCAACTGTTACCGGACCGTTAGTCAAGCGTACGAATCTGCCGTATCCGCCCGCCAATCGGGACGCCGGATGCTCGGCCGTTATTATAGAGTAACCCTGTTTGGCCAGGTACGTTGGATTTCATTTGCGTTACATTTTTGCCATTACTAATAATAATTAGGTGCATTTTGGCGGTGTTTACACATTTGTCAGTACTATTTATAGCTATTTAACACTTTTAACCGATAAAAATCATGGTATTTAATGAGATATTGTGGTTATGTTTAACGAAATTAAAAACAATTGAATACATAACATTTATCAAATCGAAAATAATCAAATTCATATTCAAACCCATTTTAAAGCAACCGCGAAAATGTAATTTTTTCTCACATTTCTGTACAAACATTAATAATATTATCGTAGGTACCAAAAATAATAATGTTCCGGTTTCCCATAGGCATATTTTGGTGATCAACACGGCGTTGAATTCGTGTACAAAGAACCCAAACTAACGCCCCTTTCGGACGTGTCCGAACGGTTGTTGTGTCAATTCGGCGATAAATTTGGCTGTGACAACGTGCGCATAATTATGGATTCGAATACCGTGAGTGCATAAAACTAAAAATTATATATCTTATGAGAAATGTTTTATTTCATTTGTTTAACTTATGAAGAATAGGGAAAATAAATATATTTACTTATTATTGTTTTAACTATTTTGTATTTCCGAAACTATTGAAAATGAAAAATAAATTTGGCTTTAAGAGGCTGTTTAAAATTATTCTAAATTTTACTCAACTTCATGGCGGTTCCCATGCTCGAATTATTTTTAAAAATACACGAAATGCAGTATTTTTTTCTATTATTTCGGATCTACAATTTGAGCTGAAAATTAATATTGGACATTATCATTTATTTAAAAAAAACTATAGGAGTTGAAAAGTTACTCCTACGCGTTTTGAGCTATTGTTTAAAACACACACTATGAAACTATATGTTTTAAACATGATTTTTTTTTAATAATATTATCTGACTGCATATATTTATTCCCACTCCTGGATTGTAGAAGTAAATTAAACCACGTACAAATATTACCCATCCCATACTGAATAAATTATTTTATTATATTAATGCATTATTTTAGATTATAAGTGAAACGAAGAAGTTTATAGAATAAAGATGTTAAATTTTTTTTTTTTTTGTGTGAACGCTTTTTACTAGAAAGTTTACTTCAATGTATAAGTACAATGTAGACCCTTTTCTGAATGAAAATTTTCTTGGGTGGTACTTTAAGGAAGGTCATTTTTTGATTTTCTCAAGAGTTTTCCCAGCAAACGTGAAAAACCGGAAAAAAACCTGGGAAAAACATAGGAAAACAAGAAAATCGGTACAATATTAAACAAATATTCCTAAAGAAAATACATAATCCCTTAAATAAATTAAATTAACTTACCATAATATGACATAATATATATTGTTGACAAAGTATCACTATCAACTGAACTTCGCTCAGAATCGTTTTTTCGTTAGCAATGGTTTATCGTTGCTTACAGATATACATTAAATTCCCTTTTGTATCTTACCTTCCCAACTTCCTACCTACAACAATGGCTGCATCCACGTGCGAAATATGTTCATCATTTTTATTTGTAAATAATAGTTTTATAATTTTGTTTATAAGTATAAACAATGGGTACAAAATTAGTAATAATAATTTTTTATTTTAAATAAAAATAAACAATTTCGTTTAGATAACTTCTTTTTTTAATTAAAATGTTTTGTTTTACACTTTTACTTTCGAAAAAAAAAAGGACAATCATTCACAATTACTTTTTGAAATTACATATAAATACGCTCTCAATCTAAAATGTATAAAGAATACCTACTAACAAAATCGTGAAACAAAGAGAAAAACCGATTATCTGTTATTATTTTGTTTACAATATCATATATTTACAATTGATCAAAATATAAATATTTTATGTAGTATGAAAGCTGACTGTAAACCATAGAATATTCAAGTAAACTTAAAATATAAATCAAAAATTCAAAACAATTTGATAAGTTTGTTATCATGTTACCCTAATTGATCCAGTGCAAGAACCAGGTATCTCCACTTATTGAAATTATTCGGCAGGCATAAAAACCTAAATAATTAAATTTCTAATAAAGGTATGGAAATTGTAAAAATAGATTTAAATAGACGAAGAGTTAATTATGCATATATATATAGATTTACATTTTATAAAATCTTAAATACCTTTTGCACTAAAAAAGCTGAAAAAAACTGGAAATATCTGGTTATTGCGCCAAATCGAACGAAATTTGTTTGTCTATATTTTATTTTTTAATAAATAAAAGGTGATAATGTCATCATAAATAATACAAACCGACTAAGAATTATAGCTATGAATCTTAGTCGTTATAAAACAAAGTATAGAAAAATACAACTAATTCTTGATATATAATAATTCATATTTTATATAATATTTAAAGGAAATCAAATTATTTTATTTTTCTGTGAGTGATATTTATATATTTAGTTATAAGGCTATACTTGTTTATCATATTTTTTTTAACTAAAAGAAATTTAACAACTTTTATACCATGAAAAAGTATTAAGTTATATTATTAGTAATATTAATTATTCTATGGATTCGGTACAATAACCGGTGATGCTTTGCCTAAACGGTCAATCAACGGCCAATATGGTACCAATCACGCATTTGGCGTTGCCTAAATAGTCAGGTCACTCGTCGCATGCGTTGCTTGGACGGCTTTTGTGTATTCTGACCGTCGCCAAATTGGCCATCCTGTCGAGTAGAATCGTCAACGGCCAGTCGCTGAAAATATAATAAATTTGTTGATAATAGCATAGTTTTTCGAAAGTAAAATTCTTCTTCTCGGATATTGATATTAAACTATTAAGATTAACGGCCACATTTAGGACCATCCCGAATTCCCGACAAACAACCAAATACCTATAGGCAATATGGCTCTATTTACTACCTAAGAGTATACTTATAGGTGAATGTATAATTGATAATTGATAAATGACAAATCGCTGATAGCGATTTTTTGCGTTGCCTGCCAACGGTCAAAAATTTGGCCGCATGTCATAAAAAAATCAAATAATCAGAACGGTCCACCGTCAGTCTGGTCGTTCAGGTAACGCACCTCGGAGATCTCCGAAGATACCCGGTTATTGCACTAAAATCTGAAAACCAAGCTTCTCTATTTGTATGATATTAGCCAATCGAACTGACGGATTTCTTTGGTTATTGCATCAAATTGCAGACAAAGTTTTCCTTTATTACATGTAAATTGTAATAAAATGTAAACTCCCGCATTTTGAGAAAAAAGTGGAGATACCTGGTTCTTGCATTAAGGCCCTCAGTTGTAGATAAAATATTTTTGTCTGTTTACAATACACCAAACTTTACCAGAGAACACGATAAAACTAATACAAAATAATCAATTTTTGAAAAAAAAATTTTTTATTTGGAATTTGCTTAATTATCATTTAATAATAATTGTATATTAAACAATAAATAATAACAAGAAATCGTTATTTCGCACTGTACAAATTAATAATAATTTTTACTACACAATTACTTTTCTTACTGCGCATTAAAAAAAACGATGGTTTTTAATACTTTTAAAACGAGATAAAAACAATATTTAAATCACAATAAAATATTATCATTGTTAGACTTCTATTTTTGTTTTAGATTTTGAGCAAAACGAGGAATGTATTGGTTTTACAAAACTGTGTTTATTGTTATTATTTTTTTTTATACTGTTTACAAAAATTCTACTAGAAATCATGCTCCAATGTATCAAGTATAGCACCTTTTTCTGAAAGAGAATTTTATTTCATTGGTACTTTAAAGATATCATTTCTTGATTTTCTAAGCAGTTTTCATAATAATTAGGAAAACAGGATAATTTTCAAAAATAATGCTTTTATTATTTTCAGTTTTGTTTTTTTGTTGTTATTCAATTCAAAATGTTTGGAGAGACTTAAAATTAGACAGAAAACTTATTTTTGCCTTTTCTAAATATGGTCAAGTTTTCAAAACATTTGAGTCATTTTTAAACTATTAATAGACATTTTAGTGTTGCGTGTTTTTTACATCATTTTTATTCTGTAGGTACTCTATGGATAAAATTGTTAGACCAAACAAGAATACTTGAACATTTAAAAGGAGGTTCATTATAAGTCTTAATTTGTGATTAAAAAAAAAAATTGAGAATGTAGAATCAATGTAGAATTTTTTTATGAGAATTTCAACATCAAATTTTATGTAACCATTCTCCGCTCAGAATCGTTTTCATTAAAAATGATTAATTGTTGCTTACATTAAATTCCTTTCTATATCTTACCTTCCCAACTTCTCACTTACAACAATGGTCCACCTATCGAAGTCCACCTACCTGCGAAGTATGTAGCATAATAATTTTGTTGTTTTTAATGATAATTTCATTCATTTTTATTGACAACATGTGACACTTAAGAATTACCTACCTAATTATAGTTAGGTATGCAATATAAAATATTTGTTATTAGTTACTACTACTTAGTCAAGTATACCTAGACACTATTTTAATAGTACAAAATGCTTTTGGATTATTTGTATTGTTACCAAACTGGGAGTTGGTAAATTAAGTTTCAAACGAATTTATCGTTTTTCAAAATCAGTAAGTTGAGTCCCTCCAATAAAAATGAAAGTGATACCTAAATTGTGTCCTAAAAGTTTTTGATCTATGAGTATCATAAGGATACTCCTTAAATTGTGTAAACAACCTAAGTATTCGATAATATTGTCTTTAACTACACTTGAAAATTCCAAATATTAGAATTTGAATACATGCATAATTTAACCATTAAAATGGGAAAAGCATGCTTAAAAATAAGATAAGATAATAGAGACTGGTGTAGCCACTGTTGTAGGTGGGAAGTTGAGAAGAATACAAATGGGAATTTAATGTATATCTGTAAGTAATGATAAACCATTGCTAAAAAAAAAAACAATTCTGAGCAGAGTTCAGTTAATAGTGTTTCTTTGTCAACAGTATATATTATGTCATATTATGGTAAAATGGTACATATGCATTCAACATTTTTTTTAATAATATTTGTATAATATTGTACATATTTTTTCATTATTCTCCCATATTTTCTAGATTTTCCAATATGTTCAGAATCTTAAAAGTGCTTCAAATTAATGTAGGCCTCAGGGCCCATGTATGTGTGACACATATTCTGCACACCCTGGTTTTGAAGCATTGGTTAGGACACCTATTATTTTAGTGTAACTTTAACTGGTATTTATTTTGTCTCTATAGATTTCCATTTCCGATTTGGACGTGAAATTTGCATACATACAAATCACTCATGTTGTGCCATACCATGGAGAAAGTTACTCGGAAATTGACAATGACTCTTTTTCTGAGTTTGAACGTAATCATGATGTGGAAAGTTTTGTTTTTGAAACGCCATTTATTCGTGGTGGGGGCGGTGGTGGCCAATCACAGAGTGGTCCCCGAGAGCAATGGAAAAGACAAACTATTATAAAAAGTAATAATATTTAAATATTTTATACTTGCTATTCCTGACAGCTTTGCCCATGAATAGTTGTATTGAATTATTATTTTTTTTTTTTTTTATATAAATGAAGTGTCTTTTAAATAGAAATTTGTTCCATTCTTTTTTTCTGATACTTAGTATAAAGTACAAATTAATTTATTAACATTTTTTTTTAAATTTGAAAATACCAATAATTAATTTGCTTTGGAAATATACACGTAAGACAATACATTGTTTTTGAATTATTAATACTTTAATCAATATTGTAAATATATATTATTTACAATTGTATATTAAATTGAAAAGTTCAAGAAAAATGAAGAACTAATGATTTGGTTGCATATTATAAAATAGGAACTCTTTCCTGTTCCTTTATTTCAAAAGTTACTTATTCCATCCTTTTTTTTCTTTAAACATACCACTTCGAAAAATCATCATTTTTTTTCATAATATAACATATTCTTCCACAATTTGCAGTTTTCACCTTTACACAGTAAATCATTGTTTCTCTGTAATTTATTTTCTATTTTTAAAGTACTTCCTTGCCATTTATCCAACATTGAACAAGTATATAACAAAGAGATTGAGTTTTCAGTTATTATGAATAAACATAAGAACTACTAACACTAAACTAGAACACTAAAAATCATTCAGATTTTCAAAATTATTAATTTTGTTAATTAAATATGAACATTTGTCCTGCAGTTTTTACAGTCAGTTAGTGATAAGATAACAATAAAAAATTATGGACCTCTTTGTATAGCAGTAAGATAATATATTAATTAAGTTTTGTAAAGTGGTCATAATATAAATATTTGTCCATTTTCCTACATGTTTTTTCCTGGTTTCCCAATTGTTATGAAAATAATTACTATCCATGTAGTGTACAAGTATTTAGTGCTGACTGAGTGTATTCTCTCTTATGGAATAATTATTTGGGTTGGGTTGTATAATAATTTTCTAGGACAATATTATAAGCAGTGTTGAGACTAGATAATTTGTTTTTATCTAGATATAAATAAAAGATAATTGCTCTAATATTATCTAGACTAAGATAAGATGATATGCATTTTAATTATCTCATAATAAGATAAAATTCATGCACAGTTTATCTAGATAAAAAAAAAAAGATGAAAATTTAAATATTTAAAACAATTTCATTTAACCTATGGTAAAATTTATATTTTACTATTGTAAATTAATATATCAACTAATGATTAAAGTCTTGAGATTAGGTAGGTACACAGATTTTTTAAGCATAACATAAATAACAACTATCTACATTCTACAATTTTCTGTACAAAATATGTTGAGTGTTTACCCATTTTTATTTACATAAATTAAAAGATTAATACAAGTATAATTTTTGTATTAAGATTAATTACTACATCTCATAGTACCAGAAAAAATTTATAAATTTTAAAATTGAATTTGCTAATAAACAACTATTTCCATAAACCATTTTTAAAACATTTATATTTGGTTTAATGACTTTTCAAAATAAAATGTATGCATAAGAAAAATTTTAACTTTAAAGCATTATAATACAAAACATAATTCTTCCAAACAAAATTCACTCTTTATCAATAGTTAATAATATAAAAGTTCTCAAATTACAATTTTACATACATAATATAAATGATTAAATGAATAGTATTTAAATATTTGATAAGTACCTATATTATACTTTACATGTAATCACTTCTCAACTTTAAAATAATAATAATTAATAGTAATAATAAATCATTTTTTTTGTCCTTTACTTATTTTATCTAGATAATTGCTAAAAAGAAAATGATTTTTTATCTTAGATAACCCAGAGATATCTATCAACATTATCTAAATAAAATAAAAGATACATTTATCTAGATAAGTCTCAACACTAATTATAAGTAAGTCAAAATATCTTCTTAGCTCTGAAAAATGATTTTCAATAAAATAAACCCCCTTACCTAATCTGCTCAATATTACCTGGTTTCTTTTTCCTTTCACTGATTGAATACTAGCTGTGCTGAAAGTCATTTTCACTTAAAACAAAGTAAAACTCAAGAGAATTGCACTATGTGATTATTGAAATCAAAATATGTAACTTGTTTTGTATTAGAAGGAATGACCCTATCTCCAAAAATGTTTTTAAAATATACCATAATGGCTAAGTTAAGATTTAAATAAGATTTATGTGTACATAGTTAAAAAAAAAATTTGTAAAATTATGTATGCGATATCAAATTTATATGTTGAAGAACTATTGGTTTTCTTTTCTTTTTGTACAAATAAAGTCTAATTTACTTATTATGCCTCCTAGAATAGATTGTAAATATATATTATTTTTTTTTTCTAATAAAAACAATTTCAAACATCACTAATTCAATATTCCGCACAATGTTTATAATATTTTTACTTATGTATAATAATTTATTGACCTGCAGCGGAATATACATTTCCATATGTCAAAAAACGTTTACGAGTATGCGCTAGACATGAAATTGAACTTTGTCCTATTCAAGTAGCTATTGATGAAATGTGTCAACGTGTCCGAGAATTAAAACAATCAGTGTCTGCACAGCCAACAGATATAAAAAAATTACAACTACATTTACAAGTATTTTTTTTTTTTATTAGTTAAGACAATATAATATTTTATTGGGAGACCAATTTTTGTTTGTTTTTATGGGACATAAGTATTTTTTAGGACTGATGATTTGACTATAACCTTTATACTTATTTAGAACCTAAACATAACATTTTACTCTTAAAGAATTTAAGGGAATTGGAGCAAAATTAATTTTCTTTCAAAAATGTAGCACTTAATTTGCATTAACATAATAATATGTTCAGTTGCACTTCTGATTTAATTTATGCCAAATTTATCCCTTTTAATTTTTTGAAATTTATGTTCTACTTTAAATTTAAAAAAAAAAAAAACATTTAATTTTAATGCAAAAACAAAAAAAAAATTATTAATCAACTAATTTGTTACAATTTTTTCCAGGGTAGTGTTTGTGTTCAAGTAAATGCAGGACCTTTAGCTTACGTTAAAGCATTTCTAGAACCTCAAGTTATACTTGATATGCCAGCAGACAAAGTTCAAGTTCTTAAAGATACATTTAGGTGAATTTATGCTTTATTTTATACATACTTATCTAATATAATAATTAACATGGATATGATAAATTTAAACTCTGTGGTACCAACATTTTAAAATTAATTGTAGAGGTGAGGTTAACCTGACCTGAAAATAATTATATTGGCATTTTACAAACATGGTAATTTTTAATCTATTTGTAGGCTTTTGACATTTTTGTAGTTTTTCATTTTTATTGGCCGAAAATAAATGTTTAAAAAATTAACGTGTTCATAATTGGTTTTACTTTGTATTAAAAAAAAAAAATTCAAATATAGTATTTTATTTTTTAGATTTCACAAACAATCATCTAAAATTAATTACAGTATTTCAAAACAAGTTCAACTTAACTTCATTCATAATTCTATTTTGTTAAAAATAATTTTTGGTTATAATAATATATATAATAGTTATAAATTAAATAATTATTTCTGTTTTTTTATTTAAATGAAATGCATCTTTTATTGTTAAAAATCATAGGAAATGTTTTCAGTGGTGCACATAAAGAGCGAGTTCAGGTTAACCCCTACCCCCACCAAAATGCATTCTTTGCTATATTTTTTTAAATCAAGTTTTATATTTAGCAGCATAATATCTTAAATATCAAAAATAAAATAATGAAATTTAATTTCATCAAGTCATTTATTCCCCAATAATAGTGATAGTACTGTACAAATAATATTGTGTATCCCCTCTATAGAATATTGCTGACTGTTTTATGGGTATTTCATTTTAATTTGTTGATATAAATTAAATTACAGGGAGTTTATCAGCGCATGTTTTGATGCATTGAAATTGAATCGAATGGTGGTGTCAGCTGATCAAATCGAATACCAAGATGTGTTACAAGAAAACTTTGTGAAATTATGTCGTGAATTGTCGGAGTGCATTGAAAACGATTCGTTGTGGCGAGATTTATTGCAAACCTGTACATCACCTGGTAATGATAGCCGAACTCTGTTTACAGCCATAAGCGGTGCGAGTCATGATTCATCAAATGCATGAACGCCCCATCAAAAAAATAACAATACACATATTATTTTTTATTTAATTTATGTAAAAATTTATGCTAAAATGTAATTATTATTACAATTTTATAATATACCTATTATAATTAATATTATTATTATATCAGTAGAAAAATTATCTCTGATACTTTTGACATTATTTTATTAATTTAATAAACTACGTATTTAAAAGTAAAATAAAATGTGGTTGTTTAAATTAAGTATAAATAATAATATTAGTAATTAATTCTTGATATTTATTAGAATAGCAATGCAAAATTATATACTGAGGACTATGTTTTATATATATCTAGATAAAATATGCAATATGAATTTGTAATATCTTACAATTATACCAAATAGATGAAACAAATTTTTATACTTGATGTATTACATATTATATTAATTTATGAATTAATATGTTATGTTTTATATTAATATTTTTATCTGATTGGGAGGAAAGCATTGAGGGGGAGTGATAAGGGCAATCCCTCTCAGAGTGTCTTTTTTGTTCACCAATACATTAATAATACAAATAAATAAATACAAAGATTAGTTATAATTTAATTGTTATCAACTTTTGAACCAGACATTTTGCTCTAATTATCAATACCAGAAGTGGTTTTTGGTAGAAAATGTTGTCTAGTTGGTGTATTAAACTAATGCATTTTTGATTTTCTTTTTACTTGTCTTAACTTTGGAAGACAATTTGTAAAGTGGTAAGTATGAGTATATATATGGTACACCTAATATCAGTTTAAATAGTTATTTGAGAGTAAGATTGAGAATTAGTGTATTGTATGGCCCAGCAAATAATTTTAATAATAAATTGGGTTTGCTCTGTCAACAGCTAGACTTTTATTGACAAAGCAATAAACAAATAAAATAAACAAATAAACTTTAACAATACTATGGTGAGAAGGGTGGCATAAGCTGTGTGAATCACTTCATGCTATTTTAAACTGGACAATTGAATGAAAATTTATAATTACTAAAATACTTTTTGCAATTGTGTTTCCCTAAAAATGTTTTATTATATATGATGTCAAATCTAATTTTAAAAGTAAACTAATTACAGTACTTGTTGCATGTTCAAAACTTAAGTTTAGTTTTCTATGAAAAATTAATTTCTTTGGATCATTTTAAATAATTATTACATTTTAAAAGTACTACAATTTATTAATCTATATATTGGTTATTTAGTTTTATTCACTCTTTGGAATCACCTAAATATCTGAAAACACCATAGTCATAATTAATATTAATTACCTTAAAGTTAAAACTATAGAAAATTTGAATATTAGTTTACAATATAACAAAAATCATATTCATTGGAGGAAACACATAAAAGATGATAAACTCCAACCAAATTGACCTATTTAGAAAATAGTACAATAAATTTAAAAACAACGTATAAATGTATAAAAATGTTGATGTTTTATATATTATTATAGTGCATTGTATGATACCTATAATATTTTCTTAAAGTTAGCAAATCAAAATCACCATAAAAACTTTTATGTAATATAATTATGTGTTAGTAAATCACAAATTAATTGAACTCACTTTTTGAGTAAAGTGATTACATTAATACAACATTTGAAACTTTTAAAATAAATAATTAGATATTAACTTTTAAAAATAACCTTTATTAATTTATTTGTTCACAAAAGTACTGAGGTGGTTAAAAAAAAAAAAACTGATATAAAAAATATTATTTTGAATATAATACAATAATATTGATTTTTTATAATTTCATTAAACAGAAAAAAAAGACTAATATTAAAAGTTTACAAATTCATCAACTCTAAACGTGTTTTTGATTACTGACAGAGAGCTACTCACTTGTGTAGGGTATATTTTGGAGTGTTTACTGCTTATATGGACTGTAAGGAATTCATTATTCCTAAAAGTTTGTATGTTCTTTCTTCATCAGAAACAAATATTGAAAAGTTTGTGATTTGAATATTTATCACTTGGAAATGCAATTTGAGAATTATATTTTTTTGTTAATTTATGTAAATTCCTAAATTTTGGCATCATTTATTTTAAAAATATATGTATTACACTGAAATAAAACATATGGAAGTAAAATTTAAATATTTCCCTCTAGACAGAGATGATAATTTTTAAATATTTAAACAATATTTAAAAACTATTGGAGACCTATACTAGAGTGTACTAAATTATATTTGTTGGTTAATAGTAATGCTTTTGAAAATTGATTAAACATTTAAAAAATGTCATTCATTCCTAAAGGGTATATTTATATTTGACTTCAAAAATACCCACACAGCATTTTCCAATCAAACATTTACAATCAAATTGTATAAATATTTAATTTTGGTTGGATTAAAAATATTTAAAATTAAAAGATAAGAGAATATTGACTATATATTTTATTTTTTTAAAATTGTAAATATTTATTTATAATTGTTAATTTTTAACTAAAAAAAACAATCTTGTGTAAACAATTGTTGTTATCATGAAAATGTACATTTTTTTTTTAAAGAATTACTTAAAGAATCGTTTTTTGTTAGCAGTGGTTTATCATTTTCAAAAGTTATAAATTAAATAACTTTATGTACTCTACCTTCCAAACCAGGCATGGATCCAGAGCTTTTTACAAGACAAATACAATTACAATATCTATGGTTCCCATTATAGTATCATAATAGTTTATTCAACCTTCATCTATTTGTAATTATTTCAACTTCTTGGACGCATTCTTGTGGTGTCAATAATTAACATGCAATTAAAAAATTATAATACAATTTATTTATTATATTATTATCATATATATTTTTGATTGAAATACATTAATATCAGGTTCTATAGAATTATGAAAAAAATTGGAGAAACAATATCTCTGGGGAGGCCTGGGCCCCTAGGCTCCCTTGGATCCGTCTCTATTCTAAACTACCCACTTATAATTATGTCCATACTCGTTCCCGTTGTCAGCTCTTTTTTTTTAGATTTTGAGCAGAGTGAGGAATGTTTTGGTTAAAGTTTATGATTTTTCCCTGTGAACAGCTTTTCTACCAGAAATTTCTTTCAATTTACAATGCTAAAAATTATTTTCAATGGAAATCTGACTAGGACGGTACTTAAGGGATGTTATGTTTTGATTTTTTTTTGCTGTTTTCATAATAAATGGGAAAAACTGAAAAATAGGTACAATATTAAACAAATATTATTAAAGAAAATATATTATGCACATGTAAGTATTTTACCCCTTTTTTGAAACATGAGGTGCCTAGAACACAAAGAGTATTAGTGACATTTTATTGATTTTGAGAAAATTAAGTTTAAAGTTATTTAATTTTAATACATTAAAACACCTTAAAAAAATGCACTTAAAATGCGAAATATGCCAAAAATTGTAGAGTGAAATGCATTTAAAATGGTTTTTAATTTAGTTTTTATATTTTTATTGATGTTATATGCATACAAATATATTTAATAAAAAAAATGATAAAAATGTTGATTGAATTTGAATTTTAACTTTGAATTTTATTGATTCTTTAATAATTATATTCGTCTGAAACGATTTTTTTAAACATTTTTTTTGTGTATTTTGTTAAAATAATAAATGTTTTCAAAGATGTTAATTGATGGAGTAGTTTGATTGAAAATGTCGTAAAATAAACTAAAACAAGAATATATGATCTAAAAATTAAAAAGTGCAAAAAAAAGTTTCATAAATGGATTTGTTGTTATATAATTCAAATTATGTACTTACGAAGCAATGTTTCTCAATCATCAAATAAAATAAAATACACTTTCCTACAAATTCACAGTCCTATTTATGACATTTTCATCTGAAGACTATTTTAGTAAGATCTAGTATTTTATTCTAGAATCCCCACACACGACGAATAATTCTCTTTACCACAAAATAAAATGGAATATTTTTAGTTCATTTGTGCTCTTAACACGTTGACAGGCCTAACAAATAAAAATTAGGTAAAAAATTTCAAAATTAAATTGTCTATAAATATTCAAATCTCTACGAATATTTTAATATGAATTTTTTCGAAAAAACAAAATTGAAAATAATAAAACTATTTTTTATCGTAAAATTCCCTGTTACTTTTTTTTCCATTATGCTCAATTATTAATTAAACTACAGAGAAAATCAAAAAACTTGCTCATGAACTAAATAAAAATGCAATAGATGAGGTTTAGTGTCGTTTATCTATTAGAGCAATATTTATGGTAGAAAACATAAGTCCCAACAATTTTCAATAATGAAATCGTTGTTTCGTAATTTGAAAAGATTATATATTTATTCTTTTTTAGGTTTTCCCAATTATTATAAAAAATACTTTAGACATCGAAAAACGGCTTTCTTTGTCAATCGCAAAATATAATAAGATAAAAATCAATCTCTGTTATTTTTCGATTAAAGTAATATTTTTGATAGAAAATTTAAGTACACACAATGAAAACAATGAAAATGGCAAAGCCGTAAATATTTACCGTTTTACCTATAATTTTCTTTCGGTTTTTCTCAATTATTTTGAAAAATCAAAAAATATCCACCTCAATGTACCAACAAGAGAAAATTATCTTTCAGAATAAGTGCTATAGTCTATAACACAGGGCAAGTTTTTTGGTAGAATAGTTGTTTATACACAAAAACCAAAAAGATAAAAACACATACATTATAATAAAATCAATAGATCCTTCACTAGTCGTCAGGTATGTTTCGAATGTAAAACACAAAAAATAAATGATACGGTTGTAAGAAATTGCTTTAAACAATATTATGTACCTATAGCGACGGCGACGGTTATTTACACACAGTCCGTAAACGAACATATACACACGCTAAAAGTTCAAAAAAAACAAAACCCACGTTCACAACAACAGCAGATCACGATTCGATAACACAACACACAGAGCAAGCGAGTATTTTACAAATCTAATTGAATAGCAAGTCATGGATAAAAAAATTTTGGAATATACAGCTACAGGAGAGAGGAGTCCGGGACCGGCAGCTTATTGCGTGAAGCCAACGTTCGGAAAGGGAGCGACGGACCCGTCTATCAAAAAGAATCCCGCGTATTCGATGTTGGGAAGGACACAAAAAAACGTGAGTACAAATTTTATCAAATTTGAGTACACGAATATACCAGGTGATTCATTTAAGTGGGTACCCTCATATCACGGAAAGAATTAACTTTTTTTTTGAAGTTTGAAAAAAATCACCACTGACCTAACCTAACCCGATTCGAGAACCAGCTATAGTACAATAATCACATGAACTGTTTTCAGATCAATGCCATCGGTCCGGGACCGGCTTACACGACATATGGGATATTCCGGGACGGAAAATATCGGACGCCGGGAGGAGTGCTGAGCTGGCGGTTCCGGAGAGGCCGTCACGCGGCCAACACTCCTAGTCCGGCCGAATATTGTGTTAAGTTAGCAAAAGTGACTGGTGGACATTTGATGCGGCCAATCAAAAGTCGTAAAAAAGATCCGAATACTGGACCAGCCCCAAACCAGTATCTTCTACCGGACACTCTCTCAAAGCGAGCAGCGCGACTACTTGGGCGGTTCAAAGAATCGGACAAGTGCCCTACGCCAGGGCCGTACGACCTGCCCCCGATACCCGGCAATGGTCGGACGATGGGTCGACGGTACAACAAAAGCGCCAAGTGCCCGACGCCGGGACCGGCCGATTATGACGCTACCGTCCGGCTAAATTGTATGTGCAAATGCAAGCTGGGCATCAAACACCCCTGCGGAACGACGTTCGGTAGACGAACAGCTAAAGTGTCCGTGTTTGCCGTACCGTCCGACAATAAATTCGACGACGAATGCTTAGCTAAAAACCAGCCTAAATTCTAAACTGTTTAACTACTTTTTTAACTGCTATATTCCAGGTACATGAAGTACCACAAAATTTAAAAAAGATACAATACTTATAAAAAAATAAAAAAGTTTATACACATATATCATAAAAGTTATTTAATTTTTAAATACTGCGTACCAAGTACAAGACTATAGGGGCATATTCGGACCTTCACTACGGGGAGGGTGGCGAAATAATTTAATTTAATTTTAGTGATTGATAAGAAAAAAATACGGTAATACTTCGCACGATGGATGACCACTATTATAAATGAGAAGTAGGGAAATAGGATATTGAAGGAAATATAATGTATATCTGTACTTAAGTAAATTTAAGCATTACCAACAAAAAACGATTTTGAGTGAAGATCGGTTAATTGTGTTTCTCTGGGGCGCCTTCAGGTCAATTCCATGAAGAAAGGGCAACGAGTAATTTTTAATCCTGAATACCATCACTTTGATCAAAAAAAATGTACAATTTTTATGTATTGTCAATTTAAGATAAATTAATTTTTTTCACATTAAATAAATAAAATTAAAATACTAATAATATGAATAACAAAATAATAATAGTGAATCAAATTTAGATAACCAAGTTCAAAATACTTTTATATTAAGTAATGGTTTAAAGTGGCAAAATTGCTTTAGTACATTGCACCTAAGCAACCAAAATACGAACTCAAATGAAGTGCATGTTAAAAACTTTTGATTTACATGTTTAAAACATATTGGTAAAATAAATAACAAATTAGAAATAGAAAACAATGATAAAATCTTTCCCTTAAAATAATGTTAGTCATAGGCCGTAGCATAGANGATATATATAATTAGTTTTTTTTTTCAAAAATATTAAACCAAAAAGTTACAGCCATGTTATAAATATACCAAGGTAAAAAGAATTGATGCTTTTGTAACGGTACAGGTTTACTGACTCGTCACGGTACCATTAGTTCTAGTACGTCTAGCGTTTTTTTAACTAGCCATAATAATGGAGCGCAGAATAGGAATGTACTTATGTATGTGTAATAAATTAGTAGAGCAGCTGGGGGCTGAATCTAGTCTCGGGTATAATTATAAAACGGCTCATGCATAGATTCACGAGGAAACCGTGTTACCGTGACTAAGACGCGCAATACTATGTAGATCAAATATATATATTACACGCATTAGCCTAATCATAGATAAATACTTATAACCTTACTGATAAAATGTTATCCGCACAACAACATTTTATTGTTGAAAAATGTAGAGTAAGCACATCTGTCCGGGACGGGGACATCAACTATGTTATCAACTAAACTATCAAACTAAGCTATAAACTGTGAACTGGTGCATCTTGTAAAATTAAATTAAAGTGTTTGAATATTTGTTAACAATAAATATACTTATACAAATTACTGTGTACCCTGATTTCGGTCATACATAAACCTGAACCTGAGTTTAAAAAGATGCCAACAACACAGATATACCTACTTTTAAGAAGTTTCAAAAAATTTAACAAATTTAGATAAATCAAACTTTTCTACTTTTAAAACCGAATAAAAGGTTATTTTATGTGTAACTCACCTGAAGCACCCAACATGGTTGACATTATCTTCTGGCTGATTCCTATAATATAAAAAACCATTATTATGTATTTTTATTTTTTATTTTTCATGTCTAAGTACAATTGTGCACAACAATGAATATTACTTTATTAAATGAATAAGAACAATTCAAATCAAACTATAAATGTTAAAGTAAGAAATAATGTGGTTCAGTGGGTCAGTGAGTAATACATGTCACTAACGTTTCTACAAAACTATCATATTGAAGTTAGATTAAGGACCCTTCTACACATAGCCACTCACCAGCACTTCTTTTATACGCCACAGTCACCGTCTGTAGTATGGCTGTGGTCGTGTGTAAAATTTACAAGCTAAGTGTGTAGGTGCCTTAACACAGTAACACTTGATTGTTAAAAAACGTTATTGTTATCTAAAATTTAACACGGCGTGATAATCATATGATTCTCCCACCCTGGCCAAAAATGCGATAGCATTTTTTATCATGTTTCACTGTTAGAAATATACTGATAATATATACATACAGTTAAATCCGTCAAAACTAGTTTTAACTAGTGATCACACAAATTCCTTTAATCAATTCTAGTTTTGACTAGTTTAAAACTAGAATTAACTAAGACCTTCACCGGTAAAATTAGATTTAACTTATTTTTGTTTAGATAGAACTAGTTGTGTCTGAAATATATTGGTAAAAACTAGAATTAACTAGTGAAAATCCGTAATTTTTATTTTGTTAGTTTAAACTAGTTGCGCGAGACAAAAACACACGTAAGTACGACTACAACGATAACAAACGAACTGGCAAAACTGAAAACACGGGGACAAAAGCTACAGCGGCCATTAGGTATAATCGGACGAAGTTATCATATCTAAAAGTGATATGATTGACTGGTTAGTTATGTCAATTGATTTGATAGCCGGCCAGTCGAATTTATGGAGCAAGATTTGTATATCGCATGTTATTTAGATAGTACATGTTAGAATACATGCATTTAAGTAAAAACTAGTTTTGACTAACTTATTTAAATTCTAGTTCTACCTAGTCAAAACTAGAGTTGACTAAAGGGATTTGTGCAAATTAGTTTTCATTAGTTAAAACTAGTTTTGACGTATTTCAGGTTTGAACTGTAAAATATATGTTGTACAATAATAATAATAACAATATAGTTTATTTTCCAGTATAACATAAAACAAAATAAAAAATATGCACTAGTAATATGGTACAAAATAATTATAATAACCACAAATATTAATTAAGTTACAAGAAAGAAAATAAAACATTTAAAAATCACTTAACTTAACTTTAAATAGTTTAAAGTTTAAATAACTTTAAAAAGTTAATATTATTAAAATTAAAAATATTTAAATTTGATTTACCACACAACAATGTACATTTGTAAATAGGACTTTGAGAGGTTACAATTTTAAAAAATTTAATACCTTGTAGTATACTAATTTAAATGTTATTTACATCGCTACATTCACCATTAACTATTTGAGTACTACCACATAAGTATAACTTCATTAGTTTTAAAATATTACCTCTTATCCCAGCATAATGTAATTTTTGAAATTATGAATTTACATTTACAGAATCAAATGGTTTTTTTTTTTATCTAAAAATCTAAAAATTGCTTTAAAATAAAATAAAGTATCATTAGTTGACATTTGTCCCCTAAAACCAAACTGTCTACAAGAGAAAAGTTTATGTTTATTTTAAATATTAATCAGTCAGGTTTTAATGCATTTTTCAAAGATACATTCGCTACACTCAGAATCTAAAATGTAATTTAAATTAATAATTTTCAATTTTGATTCTAACAAATGTATTATTTTATTATATCTTTCCAAATTGATTGGTTCCACTCAGTTTTCCTGAATTTTATCTCCGCCTAGAAAGAATATTTATTGACATAGTCGCATTTTTACTTATTTGTACCATCACATGGTTTATGGGGGGGGGAAGGAGTGATCGCCTCCTAGCCCACCCTTAGGGACGTCCCTGCATGACCAACATCACACTTGGCGACTGTGATGTAAAAAAAACCCATCCAATAATGTTCACATGGGTTTGTTGGAAGTTTGTGCCAAAATATTGGTCAAAATCAGTGGTAACTTTGAAAATAGTGGTGAGGCGAAGTTAAAATTCAACGGCCACAATAAATGTGTCCGGCGTCTAGTAATAAATAAATAAATAAATAATTAGTTTGTTATCAATTTGGAACAGTTTTAGTTTGATATTATGATAATACCTTCAGTCTAGGGGTGGATTCAGGACAAGATAACGGTGGGGAGGGGCATGATTTTAAAAATGCATTTAAGACATGCATTTATGGATAGCTCAATGATGAATCAAAATAAGAGTATAATGCAGCTTAGAGTACATTAAAGAGTAAATGGATTAGGCCCCTATCTCCCCCCCCACACTGGTTCCGTCCCTGTTCCAAACTACTCACCTACAAAAGTGAGTGCCTCCGTCAGCATGGTCAGCTCTTTTTAGATTTTGAACAGATTGTATTGGTTTACAATAATGTCTATTATTTTTTCCTATGAACAGCTTTTATACCAGTAATTTCGTTCAATTTACAATGCTAGCAAAGGAAATCTGACTGGGACGGTACTTAAGGGAGTTTATTTTTTGATTATTACTGCTGTTTTCATAATAAATGGGAAAAAAATTGGAAAATAGGTACAATATTAAACAAATATTATTAAAGAAAATATATTATGCATATGTAATTATTTTATCACTTTTATGAATATGAGGTGCCTAGAACACAACGGGTATAAGTGGCATTTTATTGATTTCGAGAAAATCAAGTTTAAAATTAGTTGCATTAAATATAATTACAAATTAGTATAGCATATTATCATATCATCCCAATCGGTAACTTCTCACCAACAACTATAAAACATTGTTGGGTAAATAAATTGATGGTAAACAATTTTACGATGTATGTTCTTTTTTTTTTATTATAAATTAATATTGCTCTGATTTTTAAGTGTAGCGTCTTTTCTAAAAGGAAATCGGTGTGAGGAGATACTTTAGGAAGGCTTTTTTTCGATTTTCTCAAGATTTTTCCCAGCAAATGTGAAAAACTACAAAAATTGTGAAAACTTAGGAAAATTTGGAAACCTTATAGGATTACATCAACTTTTTTTTTTATTACAAAATCACATTGACACGTATAATTAAAGTAACTTATGAAGGGTTTAGGCCATTCCAAAAAAATTAACCCCCTCCTCGCAAGATTATATTCCAGATACGTGCCTGGTTAAAGTAATATTTGTCTTTTGGATTCCATTGAACATTATACGTCATATTATAGTGAAATAAATATATATCGAAACAATTTATATGGACTACTAGGTTTGCTCCACATAATTTTTTACTAAAACATTTATCGTCAAAATCTGATATTAAAATTCTAATTAAAAAAAAAAAAAAATCCTTCATTCAATTCATTTTTTTTGTTTATTCTAACAATTTGATCTACAGAGTACCTATATACTAATTAAAACATTTTTACGAAATTATAATGTCTATAAATAGCTCAAATATGACTCAAATATTTTTACAGTTTTACCACTTTTAGAAAAGACAAATATAAGTATTATGTCAAAATTTTAAGTCTTTAAAAATATTTTTTAACTATATTACAACTAGAAACAAAATTGAAAATATAGAAATCATTTTTTTGATTAACTTTCTCATTCTTTATCCTAATTATTTAAAAATTTGATTGGGAAATCAAAAAATGACCTCACCAATACATCAACTAGATCTAATTAAACAATAAAGGTCTCTTATTTTTGATCGGAGGAAGATTTTTAGCAGTAATGTTCACACATACACAACATCATTACCATTACATTCAGAATTCAAAACCATGAATAAAATTATTATGACAATATATAACATATCTGTATGGCTATAAAACATGGTAACTCAATTTAAATATAATTACCAAGTGTAAGATATGTATTGGTTATAATTCTATAAACTATCACTGAATAACTCCCCAAAAATTAAAACAAAATGTAATTGTATCAAAAAAAGGTGCAATGTGTTATACAACCAGCCAATACTCATTTTTATGTTGTAAATTATAAGTATTTTGAATTTAATGACATTAGATATATACTCATAAAATCAACATATTTTTATTGTGCAATTCCGATTGCTCCATCACACAATAATTTTGTTTTAAACTTTTTTATGTACTATCCAAAATAAAAGAGTGAATTATTTAAAACATTTTTTAATTTAGTACATTAAAACACACATTAAGAAAAATAAAAATGTACACAAGTGCTAAACTGTATTTATTCATATTTGTTTTGTATAATTTCAAGACACATAAATAACACTAAAATGTAATATTCTAGAATAAATAGACACCGCTCAAATTTCAAAAATAATGTTTGGCTATAAAAAAAAAAAAAAAAAATGTTTATATTTGAATGGATAGTTTTCAAACTTTTCGGTAATCCAAATTTAATATTTCGATAGTTAAAAAGTTGTATGAGTATACAAAACTAAAAGTTCTTAAAAAACATATAGTAGTATATATAGTAATATAGTAATTCTTCTTTTATAATTATCTATTTATCTTGTATTAAATTAAAACATAATGTCAATTCTTTGTTACATTTCGATTTAATAATATAATTAGTAAATAAAAAATATGTATATTATATATTATTCTAAAAATTATTTATGACAAAATATTTTTTTAAAGAACAAAAAAAAAATGATCTTATCCTATAAGTATCTATACCTTAAGTTTTACAATGCCATGGTTTCAAAAAAACTGCAATTTTTCAAAAGCATCATTTAAAAATTATATAAAAAAAAAATTATTAATGATTTAAGTTTGGGATTTTAAAGAATTCGGTTTAATTTATAAACATGATTATAAATCAGCATTTTAAAAAACTGGTTTTGAACTTGATCAAAAGGAAACATTCGTTATTTTACAAAATAATTAACATTATAGCTTAAATTATTAATAATTTAATTTAACACAAATTTCTGTACCATGAAGTTTGTGTTCTTGAATATTAATTTTAAACATATTATTGAAATATTTCATTCTTCTAGTAAATAGGAGAAACATGAATAATACATTTAACTATAATTTTATTTAAGATCTCCAAACAGTTCTGATAAACGCGGCTTATATTTTCCTGTATCGGGTATCTTAATGACTTTAGTCTTGGCGTTAACCATCATTAAATTCAACCAGTATTCTATGAATGATACTGAAAATATGTCAACTTCCTCTGATTCGTAGGGATTATTTGGAGGGGCTTCTTGTATTCCTGGTTGTAATTTTTTTGACCTTATCATTATGATATTGTCACGAACTTTTCTTGTTTTTGACATACCCAAATAGTAGCCAGGATAAAACATTTTTTTTTGTATATTATTTTCAATCAAATAATCAACTTTGGCAAGCATGTATTCTCTTATTCCCCAAACTACATGTGTTAATGTTTTGGAGAGTGCTTCTAGGCAATTGAACATGATACGATTGCTATGTGGTATCTAAATGAATATATCATTATAGTTAGATTCATAAGCATGATTGTGTTAAAAATTATAATAGTATAATACTTACTATTCGGTAGGGATCGATAGGAGCTATCATTAAAGCTTTTATGTGACTGCATCTTTTTAATTGGGATTCCACTTCTTTATTCATTATAATGTTAATTAGTTCCAAATTTTCCAATTTCTTAAGAGATCTTATGGCATCAAAATATTGTTTCGTGCATGCCTCCCATCTATCAAAACAATTCTCTAATCTTAAGCTTCTTAAATTAGTTAATTTTTCCAAAAACTCATGAAAATTATTAGGTAAGCATTTACATTCTCCTATTTCTAAAACTTCCAGATCAATTGATATTGATTCCAAAAGTGCGATGAAATTATCAGGGACTGCTTTAATGAATGTTATTGATGTTAATGACTAAAAAAAAAAATACAGTTAAATTAAAAATATAAAAAGGAATAAAACCATAATAAATATTATAACCATACATTTAAATAAATAAATGGTATACAAGTATAATTAGTTATACATAAATACTGTAAATTTGTATATTTTTAAAGGATAATTAATTTAATTGAAAACAATTAGTGGTTTATAGAATTAAAAAAAACAATCCAATATACAATATACAATTATAAACTTTTCCATCTACAAATAAAATTATAATTTGAGTTATTCTTTAATTACAACTCTAATAACTCACCAAAGTTTTTAGTTTGGTCAATCTCGAAACTTTTAGGTTTGGCGTTGATAATAGTTTAACTCTTCTTAGATTATGTATTCGTAATTCTGTTAGATTTTGCATGTTGCTAATACAGTCCAAGTTAAAAGAATTCAGCTCATTTAAAATTTTCGGTGTACCAGGTCTACCAAATTTGGGTGGAAATCTGAGAAATAGTAAAATAAAATCATTGGTTATGTATACTGTAAATTATAAAAAGTTCATATTTTAATATTACTGTAGTGAAGAGACATTCAAATTTGTAAGTTTTTGTAATGAACACATAACATCCTGCACAATGTTGACTGGACATCCATATAGGTAAAGAATATCTAATTTAGTTGCTTTGATTATGGCTTTAGAAAAATTTAACCAAAAAATATAAAAATCATGAATTTTCTTAGGCTTTGTTGAAGGCATTAACAAGCCACGAGTGTCTAATGAAATGCATTCATTATTGTTTATAAAGTCTATCAGTTTCTTCCAGTCACTAATCTTCACATTTTTCAAACAAACATGTTTCCACTAAAAAAAAATAACCATTTGAAACTAAAATAATAAGTCAATGATTAAATTATAAGAAAATTATTTGAAATCTAAGGCCTAAATTTAAATACATTTGTAAATTGTATTATATATTAACTGTTGAAGTGATCAAATACACAACTTATCTTACTACAAAAAAGAATTTATTACAGTTTTTACCAATTGATTTTTTAAGAAATATTAAAAAAACTAATTTATATTATAAGCTATATCATATATAAAAAAAAATTAGTTTATACAAATAACATCAATATAATATGGCTTAGATTTCTCTTAACCTTAGTTGACGAGAAGCTATTTTAAATTTAAAAAAATACTATATAATATGTCATTGTTTTAGGTATTATCTTTTATTTTATTGTTGTTGTAATAGCACAGTTTTAATAAATTTGTCTATAGTTTTTGAGTCTTAAATTAATTTGTTTTAGGATATTCAAATTTGTGCACTATGAATCAATATAAAAAATACTAAATTGTTCTTACTAAACATTTATCCTTCGCAATACGTCTCCAAGAAAAACACACTTGGGTTACAGTTAAACGATCTTTCATTCCTAAATACGGGAAAACAAACTCCAATGACTTGTTAATATTTTCATTGATTTCTGATGATCTGTAATAATTTAATACAAATAATTGAGTTCATAATTATTTCCTGGTTTTAAATCGAAAAAGCTTATTTTTTCGTTTGTATGTTCTTGACCAGACACATACATATATAGTATACTACATTTTAACATGCAAACAAAAAAGGTCATAGAACTTGAGTGAAAATAAGTTAATAAAAATAAGGGTTAAAAGAAAATCATGGTAGAACCTACACCATGTAGGTTTTCTGCTCAAATCTGAAAACAAACACAATCAATTATTGAATTAAAGTAATCTCTGTTAACTTACTCTCCATAAAAATAAAACTAATTACCACTGCTACTTTGTGCCTGGTCAATATTGAATTACTCCAAAATGAAGGAAAAATTAAATAATTATTTACTCATCTAAATTTTCAGGTATTAAACAATACAAATCATCAAACTAGTCCCTTATGGGATTCACATCATTTTGTGGTCATTTTGACACGAGACAATTGGACATATGGTAAATTTTTTTAAATTATTATTATTAATTTATTTTTCAAAATGAATGTGTACATTAAATAAAAATAAAATAAAATATTACTAAACATAAAGAAAATATACTTAAAAATGAAAAATTTATCCCTGTTAATATTAAAAATATTTTCATTCTGTCTATCTTTTTTGTACGCAAATCCATTAAAACCTAATAAATCTATCCCTCGCTGACTTTTTATAAATTCTATAGGCATTTTAATAGAAATTCGTCGTAGTCTCAGCAAATACTGAACACATTATTGAATGCGTATTTATTATCAATTACTTTTATCGGTCCAAACAGTTATAAAGATAAGCATGATCAATTTTCCAATGTTGAAATGGTATGTATTCTAATAATATAATATCTATACACAATTATTAGAGAATACTAAAATATTTTGCATATGAACATTTATTTTGAAAAATAAATTAATAACAATAATAAAACAAAAAAAAAATGCTTTGAAATGTAATTGCATCAAAATGTGCTATGCGCTCAATTGTCTCGCGTCAAAACGACCGTGTCATTTGATGCGCATTGAAATGATGTAGATTTGCCCTCGTGTCTCATTTCATACACATATTGTTCATGAAAACTGCCAGGTAACATAAATATTTTACAGACATTCCCTTGGCATATATTTGTGTTTATAAAAGAATCATCATCATCAATATGTTTATCGATCTAAATGTATTGTTCTTAACTTTTAAAAATGTATGTTTTATCAATAAATAAATTAGAAGAATCTGATGTTTGATGTACTTGTCCTATAAAAATTGGTTAGACACGTAATTTTTCTGGTTCCGAAACACCAACAACTACAGTATATGATAACTACACATGTCTATTTCTTTTTTGTACAGACAATTTCTCATGGAGCCTTCATTAAAACTTTCCCATCTAATGTTGATAACCCAGTTTTCTCCATTCACGAATATGGTTTAATTGAGGAAAGATTATGAAGGAAATGTAAGGATAAAAACCCCTTAATTTAGCAACAAATTTATAAGGCCAATTTAGAAACTAATAAACAAAAGACTGTTTAAGCTAAAAAAATATTAAATAAAATTTATATGCTACCGTTTTTTAACATTTTTAAAATTATCCAAGTCCATATTGTTCAGTTTTCGACGTTTTGGTTGAGAAGCTGTTGACGAAACATTCACAGAGCGATCTCGTAGCATCTTGGATACATATGATTCAAAAACATTGCCATCCTAAAAACACAATATAATATATAGAAACCAATATTAAATAACATTCAAGAAAATGTTCAAAAACATATCTTACCTTAGTTGGATGAAATTTCGCATCTCTAATTATTTCTTTTGACGGATCATCAATTCCAGTTGGTTCTTTTTTAAATGAAAAATTGTCTATTGTTAAGGGAAAGTTTAAAGCTTCACTGTCTTTCTGAAAGTCTACTAATGATCGGAACTTTAGGTTTCCTGGTGAATAATAGTACACATCAGCTTTTCTGTTTGTTTTATTGCTTGTAGTAGTAGAATCATCTGACTTTGGAGTCCTGTAGACTACTTCTCGTTTCCACCCTAAAAAAAAATAACTTATAAATGTAAAACAGTATTTGAGTTACCCAACTCAAATACTGTTGTGTGAGATGTAGTGCAGATTGAAATCTTGAAAGGTCCGCTCTTACTATGTCCGTTCAGCACTATAACCAATGGTTAAATTTGCCACTAAACATGAGTTCACAGTCAGCGCAAGTCAACACTTTACAGAACATTAGTTTGATGAAGAATCAGGCTAACAATTAAAAATAGCTAGCAGGAAGAATTGGATGATGGTGTGACGAGATAGTCATAATGACAAAAAACCCCAAAAATAAGAAAAACAAACAACAAAATAATACACAAATACACTTACCATGAGCAAACGGAAGTTTGTATTTCGGATTAGTAATATCAATATGGCTAGAACTCGTAGATGCACCGCTAGAGCTTGCCATAGTTAATTCTTCAACTATAATAAAAAATTTAGTTTACACATAAAATTATGTTTTTTCAACAAAATGTTTATTTTTGTAAAAAAATAAAGTCACTATTTTGAATTACACTCCAAAATATTAACTAAATGTAAAAATATAAGTTAATAACATTAAGATTTCGGCTTTGGTAATTTATGAACTACAGTTTTAAAATCTAAAAGAGCACAATGAAAATTTAATAAAGTACATTGCACCTAAGCAACCAAAATACGAACTCAAATGAAGTGCATGTTAAAAACTTTTGATTTACATGTTTAAAACATATTGGTAAAATAAATAACAAATTAGAAATAGAAAACAATGATAAAATCTTTCCCTTAAAATAATGTTAGTCATAGGCCGTAGCATAGAAGTTTATAATTATCCTCATTGTACACATAATGTTAACTTTATAGGAATTATTATATTAATATGAGTGGGCATATGATATATATAATTAGTTTTTTTTTTCAAAAATATTAAACCAAAAAGTTGCAGCCATGTTATAAATATACCAAGGTAAAAAGAATTGATGCTTTTGTAACGGTACAGGTTTACTGACTCGTCACGGTACCATTAGTTCTAGTACGTCTAGCGTTTTTTTAACTAGCCATAATAATGGAGCGCAGAATAGGAATGTACTTATGTATGTGTAATAAATTAGTAGAGCAGCTGGGGGCTGAATCTCGAGTCCGGTATAATTGTAGTATAATGCTATAAGCCATTCACTGCCTAGAAATATTCATGTTTAAACAACAACATAAATTATTAAAAAGGGAAGAGTCAGCAATCAAGAAATTTGTTGCTTTCTTATTAAATGTTACACAGAACCATGGTTGTGTTATACGAATGCTATATGGGCATCATTGAATAATATTTTTTATCGAGAATACCTTATGTCGTCTAAAACGATGAATAAAAAAAACAGAAGATGTAGTGATAAATAAATTAACCAAATAAAAATTAACATTATGAATACACAGACGAAATAGAGACACAAACAATTTAAATATATAGTGTAAAAGGTCAAAACACTACTAATTTTTTTTATTTTTAATTGATGAATATTCAAATTTCATAATATTTAGGCCTGCGAAATTCGATGATCCTATTACTGTGCCCCAGAAACTACACTATGTATGAACTGTCAGATTAATTATTATTAATAAATACAATATCACTAAACTTTTATAATTGCTGTGTCACCAGTGATATATTTAGGGGGAGTGTCCTGGGAGTTAACCCTCCCAATATTTGTTCTAGTTTTATTCATTACTGAAGTATCGCAAAATATTATTGACGAACAGAAACTTTTCTGTTAGGTTTTAAGGTGTATTATAATTAGGTATGAATTCGTGATGAAGTTATAACTCACATTTCGAATGAAAAATAAGTATCCAACGAATAATAATAATAATAGATGTATAAATGCTTACTAATGGACGACTCCTCGTTAACCACATTGGTCGGCGGTGGTGATGGCGTAGGTGGTTATGGCACCGTGGAAGTCACTAGTGTAGGTCGCGAAGGTCGTAGGTATAGTCATAAAAGTACGAGTACCTATTATTAATAAAAATGTCAGAGCTGGAATAATTAATATAACGAAAAAATATAGTATGGAAAATAATTTGCCTGCGTTTCGAATGACGTGCTATCGATGACGAGAAATCGAAGAGTTGAGGCGTCTAACCGATAAATCAGCGGATGGCGCGCGAACGGCGGACCGGATCGATAATAAAAAAAATGTCGAAAAAGCAATTATTGGAACGTAGTCGTCTCAAGATAGCTGCAGCAGCAACAAGCCTGCAATGACTGTAAATACAATACTGTATTAAAGAAACCACTGTGGAGACAGCACTGTCCTGTAGCAACTACGAAGTGTTGACTTGGTGATTCCTAATAACGACTGCAAACTACAGAACGGACGGCGGATTCGGTCGATACAATGTTCGTACCCCACCACTGCGTTGTCTTCTTCCTGCAACGCCGACAGTGAATGGTGGGGTCGTCGTAAAATAGACCTCGGTTGCGAGGGACGGTGGTAGTACAGTGGGGGACACGGTGGTGGCAGCTGGGCATCGACAACGATTGTTTGTATTTCCATTAAAATTCCTTTTAGAAAAAAAAAAACCCCGACCGTAATCTGAAATCCGTGAGATTTACAGCCCTACAGACCGATGTCTAAAAACCATCGCATAACGCCCCTTGGCAGATGTTATATATGGCCACGCCATTGGACAGACAGAGAAAACAAAAATATCGTACGACAAAAATGGCCGTGAAATATTCTCTTTTGTAGTACATAAAAGTACACAGCAGCGCGGCGGTCGTTAACGAACGGGCGCGCCCTCGCCACTTATTGATTTTTGCATGCACGTGCGTGCACAGTTTTGACACAACATAATAATATTGTAAGCCGTCCGTTCGAATCCCTTCGCCGAATAAAACAAAAAGACATATCATATTATCTTTATTCAAATTCAGATTCAGATCTTGATATAGATTTGTTCGGATTGAAATAACGATATTGGATATTTGAATAATAATTGACATCTTAGAAAAAAAAAATACATACTGTAATAAATTGAGGAAAAAGCCCCTGATTAAAAACCATGATAGGGAAAAATGTTACGTTGTAGAAAAAAAAAGTCGCCGCGCCGTTGTGAATTAATACATATATTTTAATAGCAATAAAAAAACCATAAATATTTATTATGCTTAATATTTTAAGTTAATAAAAATACAGGCAATTTAAATATAATTTTTAAAATCATGATTTTCGTATGTTATGAATGTTAACAACAAATTTCTTTCAAGTACGCACTCGTGTTCAATCAAAATTAAAATAAGGTTATTAATGTTCCAATTTGTTTTTAAAATACACGGAACAATTAATTTCACTGGATGTTGTACACCTCTAGATAATTATGTTTTTACATTGTTTTTGTACATTATACAAAAAACCTTGATACGCAAATTTGCAGTTTGTTTTATTTGATTTAATGATTTAGTGATCACTTTAACGAATGTCGAATTCGGAATAACGATGAACAAAATAACCATACTGAACAGAATAATATGATATGTGTGATGTAGATACTTATAATATAATATTTATCTTACCTATTTTTGATTTATTCCTTAGAAAACCTTATGAGAATCTATTTATCTATTTAATATATTGGATGTATTTGGTAAATATAAACAACCTAACAAGTATTGTAGAATTTTAAATCCCAGTAAGGCATAAGTAAAACACTCATAACATACGAAAATTATGCTTTTAAAAAAATTAACTTTAAAATGCCTGTTTTTTTTATTAACTTAAAATAATAAGTAGGATTTATATTTATATTTATGTTCGATTCTCCCCCGCCACTCCCAAAACGGATTTTTTAGACGTGATTTTTCGAATATTTTCTACTGCGGAATGAGCAGTGAATTCGAAAAATATAATATAGGAAGTAATATTTGAAGATTCCATTATAGGCTGCAACATTGAAATAAGTCTAAAAAAATAGATAAATCATAAGTGGGTGTATATAAATTCTAATTATCATTAATGATAGTACATTTATTAGTTTTATTATAATTTATATATATATGTATAAATATACGTACAATTATTTGTCATTTGTTTTTTCGATATTATCGACACCGATATTCAATTACCGGACAAAAATGAGACCGAAAACAGCACCGAATTTCATTTGTTACAATCACGTCTCGGCGACGGCGATATGTACATAAAAGAAATAAAACTGACAAGTTTTCTTGGAATCGAGAGTTGGTTCTTACAAAAACCACACGCTCTGTGATTTTATTAAAGTTATATTAACAATGCCTATACCTTTTCTTTATAATAATACAATAAATCTGCCCACCCGTAGGGTGTACCCACCGAAGACTTAAACAGGTTCTATTACATATACCTTGTAATAAATATCTGTATAAATCAAAAAGATTGGGGTTTGGTCAGTCGGGTAGAAAAAAAAGGGACAAAAATAACACACGCATATATCAAGAAACCGATCACAATGAGTACACATAATACATACAATTATATATATATATATATAATATCAATCATTCTGTATTTATAATATATATACAGGGTGATTCGGCTGCATATACGAACCGAATCCCGGGTTGCTTAATCGGGGTAATCAACTCATGTATTATGTCGTACTTATGTTTATATCTTGTTGATTTTGTTGGGTTGAATAAATAAATAAATGAATAAATATCAATTGTGGCACAGAAAGAGAGTCTAATAAGTGACACAATTCATAATTTTCAAAAGAGTCAAACAATATTTATTTGTGATTTTAAAATTTTTTTTAGATTTGTTATAATTTTTTTTTTCGGTTGGAATAGAGAAATTTTTCATTGAATGATTTCTTTTTGTTTGTACGTCCTTAACGTGAAAACGCATTATTGATCAGCTTTTATTGTCGTTTAGACCCTATAATTGAAAAAAAAAATTAAAAAGTGTCGTTTATACCCCAAACTTGAAATTCAAATTCTTCGTTCAATGGTGGTCACAGCTGTTTTTACGCACGTGCAATGGGCGAAACACAAATTTTTTCTATCAAATGGTGAAGCCGTGTTGCTTAGACTTTTTGTCGTGTCACTGTTGGTATATTTAACGGAATAAATATAATTTCACTTGTCAGAACTCCGTTTTACGCTCTGTATAGTGTATATATTATAATATATATAAGGGATACGTGTTTGGGGGTAGTTTCAGGATTTGAAAAAAAAATATTTACATGTAGGTAACAGGTATTATACATAAAGGAGAAATCCTCTTGACCGACAATCTGGACGATAGTTTTTTAAAATACTGTACATTATTATAATCTATATCATAATAGGTATAATAGGTATATAGACACCATCATCGTTAGGGTAGGACCCGTTTGGACCAATTTTTATGAAACACAACCTCTTTGGAATAAAAAATACTACTTTTATACAGA